TGTCCTTAATATTCTCATGATTTCCTCTACCACCTGAATACATTGAATATATAATTGAAAGAATCTTTTCTACTAACTCTATCACCTATCATTTATGGGTTATTTCTTGATTTTTCTCATTTTTTACAGTGAAAAAAATTTATATTTAGAACTAGAGGCCCGATGCACAAAATTTGTGCCTGGGTAAGGTCCCTTGGCCTGGCCAGTGATCAGGGTCGATCGATCTGTGGGGCAACTGGTGGGGCAATCAGGGACCCTCACTGGCACCCGCTTTGGCCAGCCTGATGCTGCCCACTTATCGGCTCTACCCCCTGCCTCCGCTGCCAGTCGTCTCTCTCTGAGGGGCAACCGGCAGGGCAATTGGGGGCTCCTGCTGGCACCTGCCTTGGCTGGCCTGGGGCCTGCAGGTTGGGGGCAGCTCCTGCATTGAGCATTTGTCCCCTGGTGGTTAGTGCATATCATAGCGACCAGTTGTTCCAATGGTCATTCCTCCGTCAGTTGATTTGCATATTAAGTTTTTATTACATAAGATTAGGGAGCTGGATTTAGATCTCAATTTTATTGGAATTCCAAAGTCAGGAGCCGAACATATGCCTCCTTCCCTCCATCAGGCCAAATCAGTCTTGACTTTGGCCACATCAATGTCATAGAGCTTCTTCACAGCCTATTTGATCTTGTGCTTGCTGACATTGATGTCCACAATGAACACAAGTGATGACAGAACATGATTGTCTCTGTCTTCTTCATGATTGGCTCCATAGTAAGGCAGAACTTGGTGATGACATAGTGGTCAAGCTTGTTTCTCCTCAGGGTGCTCTTTTGAGGATATTTGGGCTGCCTTTGAGCTGCAGTGTCTTCATGCCTGGTAATTATTTATTGAACACCAGAAATTGGGAATTTTATCTGGGTGTTGGTTTTATATTTATAAAAATATTCTTGATCTTTGTTCTGGTACACAATTACTTAGAAACACTTGGATCCTTCAAAACTTGCTTTTAAGCATTGTTAGTCGTCAGCCATCCTTCATTCTAAGGTTACTTTGGCTCATCTTTTTTTTTTTTTTTTTAAATATATATTTTATTGATTTTGTACAGAGAGGAAGGGAGATAGTTAGAAACATCGATGAGAAAGAGTCATCAATCAGCTGCCTCTTGCACACCCCGTACTGGGGATATGCCCGCAACCAAGGTACATGCCCTTGACCAGAATTGAACCCGGGTCCTTCAGTCGCCAAGCCGACACTCTATCCATTGAGCCAAACCGGTTTCGGCACTTTGGCTCATCTTCTGAGGAAATGCCTCAATATTGTGGGTTCTCTACCTACTGCCCAAGTCAACAGTTTCTATAATAGACACTATAGAAATCGAGGTGTAAAAACTGTGAAATCAATCTTAGCCTTCTTACCTCAAATAGTAGCTTCTACCCAACTGGCTTTCTGGTATGTATATTTTCAACATAAAGTATGACTTTAAGCAGAATGGCTCCTAATGCAGACTTTGCTGCATAAATTTTTTTTGTCTCTCTAATTCAACCCCTCCCATTTCACAAGCTAGTTTCTTTCAGCTAAGAAAAAAAAAAGTTTCCCTCACATATATACAGACATAAAACAAAATAAAGTCTGGAATCAAAAGCCTCTAAAGTGTACAAATGATTAATAGTCTGACACTGATTCCTAAAACAATTCCTGTGCTCAGTCCTCCAAAATGATCTTTGACCTTGCTTTTCTCCCCCAGCTCTGTCCTCTCTTTTCACTATGACTATCCCTTTCTCAACTATGTTTGAGTACTCACTGTGTTGGCCTTAAATTCCAACCTCTCCTGATATCTCACTTCTCCTGGCTAAAGTCCCCGATTTCCTAATTTCCAAAGTCCACTATTTATTGCTTAATCATTTTTAGAGAGTACCTATTGACTTTCTTTTATGGGAAATGGCACTTGGACATACATCACCTTATGTCCCCCTTTTTTTCTCTTCCTCCTTCCAACATAGTTATAGTATGATTTGGGGTTGAATCATCATTTAGTGTTTATCTTATGAATTTATTAGTATGGATCATTGCTAAGCCATTTTCTTCCTATGTCATTGTTATTTCCAGAATGAACAGTTGTATTATTTTTTAAATTTAATGAATTTTCTATGTCACTTAATTATTTTCCAAACTGTCCAGGAGAAGTGTAAAATCTGAATACTGTCTCACAGACACACTGGTCATTCCATCAGTTCCGTTTCCCCCTGATGACACACCTTCTTGACCCCTTTCTTCCTGCTCTGGTCACATCCTCACTGAAAGGACTTCTGCTCTGAGTAAGAGGCAGAATCTTTCCGTTCTCTTCCAATTCAACCAGGCCTGGAGTCCAGCACCCAAGAGCTCCCCTGGGTCAATCGAACAGCTGTGATATTTACGTGGTATGTTGCTAACCAAACAGACACATCTTCCCTCCAGATGTTTGGTACTGATATTACCGTTTACAATGCTAGGGAAAGATATCTTGCATTTATTTCTTCCTGTCCCAGCTAAAAGGGAAACAGTTCTTCTGATTTCCTAGAGGACATCTTTGTACTTTGTTCTTGACGGCTACCACCAATAAAAATTGAGAACTTAAGCCCTAGCCGGTTTGGCTCAGTGGATAGAGTATCGGACTGCGGACTGAAGGATCCCTGGTTCGATTCTAGTCAAGAGCATGTACTTTGATTGTGAGCACAAACCCAGTAAGGAGTGTGCAAGAGGCAGCTGATCAATGTTTCTCTTTCATCAATGTTTCTAACTCTCTATTTCTCTCCCTTCCTCTCTGTAAAAACTCAATAAAAACATTTTTTTAAAATTGAGAACTTAAAAAATTCCTTTATATTTTCTGTCAATACACATATTTTAAAGCATTTTAAGAGATCCTTTAATTATACAGTAAAAAACAAAAACCCACCGCTGTCAGCTAGTTTTTCACAGACCTAATCACTCAAGCTTCTGTGGGGCCTGAGTCTGCTTTGCTGCGTAACTAAAACCAAATCACACCAGGCTATAAGGCACTTGCACATATTTGGATCCATTACAGTTACAAAAATACATTGATAACATGATTGAGTACTTGTACCTCCTTTGTTAACAGAAGCCACTGAGAGCCTGCACAAATTCAATTAACCAAGGAATGAAGGATGACCAAGAAGCAGGTGAGAGAATGATCACCCATTACAGCCGTTACTCTGTCTGTGGACATTCTATCAGTGGCTTGGGTAGGACTCCCAAGTTAATGCCCATTAGAAGAAAGCGTCACATATGGAAAATAATAACACATTTTTAGTTTTTTCAAAATATAAGTCAGGTCAGACTCAGGTGAAACAAAGCTGTAACATCCAAGAAGATGCAGTGACTTGCCCTAGCTGGTTTGGCTCAATGGGTAGAGTGTCAGCCTGTGGACTGAAAGGTCCCGGGTTCGATTCTGGTCAACGACACATGCCCAGGTTGGAGGCTTGATCCCCTGCAGGAAGCAGCCAATCAATGTTTCTATCTCATCATTGATGTTTTTATCTCTCTCTCTCCCTCTCCCTTTCTCTCTGAAATCCATTTTTTTTTTAAAAAGGTGCAGGGACTCTTTTGCACTTTAAAAGCCATGGCACCCGAGTGGTTAGCAAGGCTCCCAACACACCTATTTCCCATTTAGCTTATTGTTTCAAAAATGGCACATCTCACCCAGCTGGCATAGCTCAATGGTTGAGCATCGACCTATAAAACCAGGAGGTCACAGTTCGATTCCCGGTCGGCGCACATGCCTGGGTTGTGGAATCAATCCCCAATAGGAGGCATGCAGGAGGCAGCCAATCAATGATTCTTTCTCATCATTTATGTTTCTATCTCTTTTTCCCTTTCCCTTTTCTCTTTAAGGGAAAATCAATAAAAATATATTTAATTTTAAAAAGATGGCACATCTCAAATTACTGATGAATTAACTGAATGCTGAATTTTTTTTTTTTTATAAAAAGGGGTAATCTCATATATAAAATTTAGAAAAAGATAGGTAAAAACCAAAGGTGATAGCACTAATTGTCAGTCTTCTAAAGTTTACATGTACCATAGTAATGTTACTATGAATTTTTCTCTAGTATTTATCAGTGCAAATAAACAAAAAAATTACATTTTAAAGTAAAATTTATTTAATAATATAAAAATATGCTATTAAAAACATTTATTAGGAGAAGTAACTTCAGAAGTCTTCTGACTCTATAACTGAAAACCAATAAAGACTGTTCTGTGCTTTCTATATAACAAACAAAAATGCCACCTGTCACTTGTCTCTTCCCAATAGGGAAAGTCTAGTGTTACTCTACCTATTTCAGTTCTGGTTTATTTTTTTAAGTCAACTTTTCTAAGAAGGAATGCTGGCCTTCTGAGAGAAAATAGGGTATTTATAATCTGGAGGATCTTCTGTTGCCTAATTTTCGAAGAAAGTTGATTTTCATCTGACTTAACTAAATTTCATTCAGAAAATTTTAGTAAAATACATTTAAAGCTTGGTATTGTGAGCATGCAGGGGAAAAAAGACTATAACACAGAATAGAAGCTAGAATTAAGAGCCTCTAAACTGTACAAGTTACTAATCGTCCGACACTGATTCCTAAAATGAGTCCCTATGTGCAGTGCCAGCCGCAGGTTTGTCTGCTGACTCGTTGAGGACAGATGTGACGACAACAATAATCAAAACTTACATAGAAACTTGTTTCTCCTCAAGTTTCTGTCCTGTGGATGTGAATCGCTAAGCACACACTTATTTCCCTTTTTTTAGGAGATAAGGCAAAAAAAAAAAAATCATCTTTGGAGTTTGCTCTGGTTCTTGTTTAAGCTTCATGGAGTAACAGATAGGAGGCTAAAGCAAAAAACAGGTAATACTTCAGTAACAATAAGTCCAACTGACCTAGAAAACAAAATATGTTTCCTTTCTAACCTTTTAAATTCTCATTTACCTACAAATCTGAGGGTTTTAATCTGCAGGGGTCCCTTGACAAGAAAGTCAGAAGTCATTGTCACTCTCTTCCAGGGGCTCAGGTTTCCGGACCCTTCGGCTAGACTTAGCCGGAGAGAGAGCAATGCTCTCGTCTTCCAGATCGTCGTCTTCTTCATCGTCTTCCATGTCAATCTCACTGTCCTCGGAGTCTTCCTATAGGAAAAGCACAGCAAATACAACCGAGGTCCCACTTTGTTCCTGACATCTTGCCACCAAGACCCTACCTCACCCTTTTATTAGTAGCTCAATAACTAGCAACACCCCCATGTGGAGGAGGAGCTTGGCAGAGAAGCGGTCAGGTTGTGGGGGCATAAGACATTTAGATACTGCTGGCCGCAATACAGAGATCACTGTATCCTCTAAGCAGAACCTTCAAATACCAAGATGCAATAATCCAAGGTAGGTGCCACAGGGACTGGCTTTCCCACTGATGACTTAGGAACATGAGACCTGCTCACTGGATGCTGCTTTGCTCCTGGTGGCTCAGAGACCCATCAGTGGGCAGGAGAGAGGGAAGGAAGGCTTATTTTGACTTTTGACAGATTGGGGATGGAGAGCCACAAAGTAAAACGTTGTAGGGAGAAAGAGAAAAGAAACACTCTCGCCCTGCTGGCATGCCTCAGTGGTTGAGTGTCGTCGACCTATCAACCAGGAAATCACGGTTCAATTCCCAGTCAGAGCACATGCCTAGGTTGTGAGCTTGATTCCCAGTGTGGGGCATGCAGGAGGCAGCCAATCAATGTTTCTCTCTCTCTCCTCCCCTCCACTCTAAAATCAATAATTTTTTTTTTTAAAGAAACATTGTCACCCTGGCTGTGTTTTGACTCAGTGGTTAGACCTTAAGCCCCTGGACTAAGGATCATGGATTTGATTTCCATGAGGTTACAAACCTCAGTTGCATTTTTGATCCCTGAAGAGCAGGAGGCAGCCAATGTCTCTCTCATGTCAATGCTTCTCTTTCTCTCTCTCTCTTCCCCTCCTCTTTCCTCCTTCCTTCCCACTCTGTCTGAAATCAATAGGGATTGGGGGGAGGAGGGGAAAACAGAAGCATCATTCTTGGGGAAGGTTCTCTGCTGGCCCTGAGCAAGCTAACACACACACACACACACACACACACACACGGATAGATGGATGGATGGGGTGAAAAGGAAAACCAACCTGTTTCTTGGAGCTGGAAGTCTTGCATTTACCTAACAGAGCTGGTGCTCCTGCCATCTTTGGAAAGTGAGAGCAGACAGAACATGAGAGGGGGAAAAAGTAGGGGAAGCAGATTCATTGAAAAGAAATGAGCCATCAACAATCAAAGAAGAGAATCCAGCTCCTTGGGAGCCAAACTGCCACAAATCCAGTGATGCGGGCTGCGAAACCACACCTGACACTAAGCTGGTAAAATGTGCTTAGTTCCTGGCTAATCCAGTCAGAGGCCAGCCCTAGACTAGAAAGAATTCAACTGCTAAAGGGGGCTGGTCGGGACTCACATCGTCATCGGAGTCTCCACCTTGCATTGTGCCCACGATGTGTTTGCTAGGTCTTCCTGGGGAGAATAAAAGCATGAAGAAATTTTTAAAAAAAAAAACCTTGTAAGGCTTAAAATGGCATTTAAGATTTGCCTTCCTTAGAACATTAGGAAAAAGAAGAAATCGGAAAAATTTACTCAAGTAGCATCTCAACTAATCAGAACTGCCGACAAATGGTAACGGATTATCTGCATTTCCACATTAACACAAAGAAAAGGGCAGTGAAATGTAAGCATGAATCATAAATCAGAAAAATAAAGATGCATTCTATAAATGTTTTAGGGGAAAATCCATTCCCTAAAGTGATTTAGGGAGGCAGCCAATCAATGATTCTCATCATTGATTTTTCTCTCTCTCTCCCTCTCCCTTCTTCCCTATAATCATAAAAATATTTATTTTTAAAAGTTCATCTTTGAAAACATCATCGTTATTTGAATGGTTCTCCATTCCTCCTGTGGAAGTCTAGATGTGATTATGCAAAGACTCAGGAGGCATCCTTCACTGGGTGGAGACGGAGAGCTGCTCTCATACCTGAAGGCTGAGAGAGCAACACCAATGACCCAGGTCCAGGCCTCCGGAGAAACCTCCTAAATTCTACTTCTGATGGAGGGCCGCTCAGAGGGAGGTCACTCAGGGTAGGCCTGGAGCTGTTTAAGGATACTGTTCCTTGGATCAGGTAAAATGCAGGTCTTGTGTTGTTTCACTTCTGCAGTGACTTGTCAGAAGTAGAATTTAGGAGCACCAGTGCCTTTACGAGGTTCAGCTGAATTAATCACAAGCCATTTTAGAGCCCTGGCTTCCATGTGGTGGAATAGGAGTCATAACCTCTAATCTCTAGTGATGTCATGAAGCTTTCAAAAAATTAAAGGAAAAAAATATATCAGAGCATCTAACTATCCTATGAATAAAGCAAAATGTAATAAGATAGGTGGACCTAAAATAAAAACAGTTAACAATAAAAGTTAATATGAAATGACAAATGGGAGATAATTTACCATTTAAATTTATTGTGTATATAAAAATGCAATTGTGCTCCAAAAATTAATAAGTGGTAAATAAGAAATGTTTTTAAAGGTAAATATAGGGCAAATTTAGTAATATCAGAATTTAATCTATATAACCTTTGACCTAAGAATTCCACTTTTAATGACATAGCCTAAAGAAACACTTGGAGATGTGCAGAAAAATCTACAAGGAAAGAGTATTCTTAAGTACAGATAGATACCTAAGCATCTGTTAACATGAGAATGCCCAAGTAAATTACAGGTACAGACATATTATGAACTAATAATATGCAGCTATCAAAAAGAAAGATCTGTATTTTACTGACATGGGCAGAGTTCAATAGATTTAAATTTTTTTAAGCAGATTGCAGAACCATACACACAGTCTGGTCCCACTCTGATTAAAGAACATTTCAGAAGCTCTTTGTGTCCATGTTTCAGTGTGTGTGTGTGTGAGTGTGTGTGTGTGTGTGTGTGTGACAATTTGGAAGGGTGCACCCTGGCCTAAGGTGGGGAGTGAAACATGAGGAAGACCTCTCGCCCAGATTTGCTCCACGCATTTTATTGCTTGAATCTGTTACAGCGAGAAAGTAGAAATTAGAAGAACATTTTTAAAAGGCAGAGATGTTTCTGCAAGTCCCTTTGTTGGACATTATCTGACTATAAGGTATTAACTGCACGGTATTAACAGTTTGGGCCCAAAGCGGGCAGAATATAGCTCAGTGGCAGAGGCTGTGTGTTCCAGTAAACTCTGTGAAAAACACCAAGCCACAAATAAGAATTGGCCGTTCTTGGGACTCCAGATAAGAAGAGCATTAGTGACAGAGATGACCACTGAGCAGTTTAAGAGCCAAATCCTGATAAACAGCAGGGCAGAAAAAACCTAGAGCAGGGCCGCTCACAGTGTGCTTATGGGCTTAATACCAAGCAGCCCTGACCCAGTTCGGGCCGTGGTGTTCTGTGACAGGCACAGGGAGGAGGGCAAGTGAAAGCAGCCTGGTACCTTGCATGAGCACCTCCATGGCTGTCCGTGGCTTGGACAGCCGTCTCTCTTCCAGTTCACTGTCAGATTCATCATCCTCCTGGATGTCGATATCAGAGTCGTCATTACCTGGCAGGAACACAAATTAGGAAAAAAAGGGGGGAGAGGGGTGGATCCATCATTTCCTCTAAACCAGCCTCTGTCCAGTAAGGCTCTTGGCAAGTCATATGCACTTCTCAGCCTTTCTTTTGATGCATTAGATTTTACAAGAACTTCAGGATTTGCTAGTAGATACTTAGTGAAGAGTTAATACAAACAATAGGCAGTTTATTTATTTTTTTTTCTTTTTTTTCCCAAAGCTAGAAAAAAGTGGGTCTGATACATTAGCTAGAAACACTATTCCAGTATGTGAAATTAAACAACGGACTAGCCAGCTGTCAAGCTAGCTAGGAGTTCTTGGTTAGTTGAAAGGGGAAAAAAATTCTTTGTTCAATCTTAGGCTGTGTCACCAAAATTCAAGCTCCTTGAGGATAACAAAGATGAAGAATACCCCACTGAAAAGCTCAGTGATTGCACCAAAACAAGGCTGGAGGCAAGAAGGAGACCAGGATAGGAACGGCCTGACGAGGGCTGGCATGAGAAAGATGGTGACCTACTGACTGGCAATGGAAACTGGTGCTCATGACATTCTTCACTAGAGAAAATCCCATTATAAAGATATATAAAGAAAGGTCATTTTCAACATCATGGTCTTTTACATTAATTTCTTAAATACTCTCCTGGAGTTGGGTGCACGTTGAACATTTCCTTATGAAAACCTACAGGATGAGATTTTCCTCAGTGGGGAGAAAAACTTTTTACCGCCCAGTACCTGACTACTCTGCATCCAGAGACACACACATAGGTTTTAAGCATGGCACTGAAAGCCCTAACCGGTTTGGCTTAATGGATAAGCGTCGGCCTGTGGACTCAAGGATCCCAGGTTCGATTCCAGTCAAGGGCATGTACCTTGGTTGTGGGCACCGTACCCAGTAGGGGGTGTGCAGAAGACAGCAGATTGATGTTTCTCTCTCATCATTGTTTCTCTCCCTTCCTCTCTGTAAAGAAAAAAAGAATGGCACTTTGCAGTTGCTGCTCTGATCACTGACTCATAAGTCAGTTTGGAAGAATAGGAAGCGTTCGTCTACAAAAAAGCTTTGCTTGGCCCTGATCTAAGAGGGAAATGAAGTGGCGGCTATGTCTAGCTGAGCACAGAGGGAACGTTTTCTGCTTTCTTTAGCCACGGAGAGAAGAGCGGAGCAAACCTGGGAGCCAGAGAGTGTCAGTAATAGCATCCTGCAAGACTTCAATACAATCGATCTGAAAACTACCACCTTCCAAAAGCCCTAACCAGAGAATATGATTAAATATTAACACAAATTAGTGATTATAAAACGAAATCACTGTTCAGCTTTGTTCACTTTTACTTCATCCAGAAAAATTATGGTAGTAAATCGGTACCCAATGCAACATAAACCAAATCAAATCATGAATTTTAAAACAACATTAAAACAGATATTTCAGGCTTAACATGATTTCTTCTGACAACTCAAAACATTTCACTGAGGACTAAGCAGGTAAACTAAAACTAAGGCATGCTGACACTGAAATCACCGAGTTGTCACTGATGTTAAAATTAAATACAGCAGACAATAGTGCTGGTAAAATCCAAAAGGGAAAGGATCATCTTTCCAACCAATGGTGCTGGGACAACTAGCTCGCCACATGCAAAAGAATGAAGTAGGGTCCTTGTCTCACATCATTTACAAAATTAATTAAAAATGAATCAGATTGTGTTGCCTACTTAAGAATTGAAAGGATTTGCTCAAGAGCTTATATTCATAGATTTCAGAACCAGACTCCGTAGATTCACATCCTATCTTTAATTGTGTTCGCTTACCCAAGGCACTCTCCTCCCAGGGAAGAGTAAGGGATGCCTTCTTACCTACTGCAGGTACATCCTGTAGCTGGCTAGACATAGAGGAGGGAAGAATTTATCTTAAATTAACCTTGTAGTTTTGGTTATTAGTGCTGTCTAGATATAGTAAAAATACTGAACATAAACTGTGCTTTTTTATGTAAACTGGTGTTTTGCTTTTTATGTTCACTTTGCTTATTTGTTTTTTAAAGTAAAATATATCAGAAAAGTATTGAGGACTATACTTATCACTGGACACATAATACAACTAGACAAATGAGGGGGCTTAAAGAAACAGCAGGAGCAAAAATAAAATTGCTTTATGATTTAAAAAAAAATGGATCAGAGACCTAAATGTAAGAGTTAAAACTATCTATAAAACTCCTAGAAGAAAACACAGGCATAAATCTTGGTGACCTTGAATTAAGCAGGGATTTCTACTTAGATATGACACTAAAAGCACAAGCAACAAAGAAGAAACTGACAAACTGGGTTTCATTAAAACCTTGTTCAGCAGCCCTAACCAATTTGACTCAGTGGATAGAGCATCGGCCTGCGGACTGAAAGGTCCCAGGTTCAATTCCAGTCAACGGAATATACTTTGATTGCGGGCACATCCCCAGTAGGAGGTGTGCAGGGATCAGCTGATCAATGTTTCTCTCCCATTGATGTTTCTAACTCTCTATGCCTCTCCCTTCCTCTCTGTAAAAAAAAATCAATAAAATATATATTTTTAAAAACAGCAATAAACACATGAAAAGATGCTCCATTTCATTAGCCATTAGAGAAATTAAAATGAAAACCACAATGAGATACTATTTCATACCCACTTAAACTATAGGCAGTTTGTAAGTTTCTTCTTTTAGAACAGCACTATTCAACAGAAATATCATGCCAGCAACAGGTGTAATTTTAAAATTTCTAGTGACTAAATTAAAGTAAAAAGAAACTGGTACTCTTAATGTTTTTTTAACCCAAAATACCTAAAATGTCATTTCAACAAGTAACCAATGTAAAAAATTATGAGTAATTTTACTTTTCTTTCAAAATCTGGTATATATTTGTTAGGGGCAAAAATAGAATATTGGGGACTAATTATAGTTATAAAAAATATTAATCATGCTCTGTTAACTGTGATTGCCTTGTTCTGATTAAAGAAAGGACCTTCTAACCTGGCTGGGAATGGTAGGCCCCAGGGATCTGGGAGTCAACCTTGGACCTGGCAGTCAACCTTGGACCTGGGAGTCAGCCTTGGGATACAGTTAATTCTCATTCAAGTACTGCCTATTATAGTGGGAAGATTCACAACCTTGTTGCCCAAACAATGGAGTCCCACCCCAGTCCACATTGCCTACTTACCCATGTAATCTGTGTCCTACTCAATACATGGGGGGTTGCAGAGCAGATTTTTGTGGATGACTTGCTGCTTTCCCATACTCCCAGCATTAATGGAATAAACACTCATACATGATTCAACCCTGTCTCTGCTTAATTGGCTCAAGCAGTGACAGGCAGCCCAGACCCATTGGTTGTCTGGTTACCTATTCTCAACAAACAGCACACCTCAGTTTGGACTAGCCACATTTCCAGTGATAAAGACCACGTGTAGCTGGTGGCTAAGGAGAGGATAGTACAGTTCTAGACTTGGAGCTCCCTGAGAGCCTCACCAATCACTGTGGGCTGGCACAAGGCCTGATACACAGTGGGCATGCAGTAAGTACAGGCAGGGCAAAAGGTTTACAGTTGGGAGTACTCAAAACACAGAGGTTATTCTGGTATTATTACTTACTAATTATTGCATTCTTTTCTTTTTTAATTGAATTATTTTCCTTTTGTCCTACCATGTATAAACACCTGCTTTCCACTATACCATAAAAACGGAGTCACAGCAAGGTTACTAAGATATTGTGATTTATAATAAGAAATATAGATTTGGCCTTCCTCCCAGTTCCTGGCACAGAGCTCCCAAATCCCAAGCAAGGACTTTCTTAAACAATGCGAGTAACAATGGTGTTTCTAGTTAAGTAAATGAGGTGACTTTTGGATCTCACCCAAGGGTGGACCTGGTTGCCAGTAGGAGTCAACCAGGTGATTAGAGAATTGGAACTTTAAGTCCTGATTTCTGGGGAAAGGAGAGGGACTTGAGGTTGAATCAATCTCCAAAGACCAATCAAGACAAAGAAATGAACTCAAAAGGGTCTATTCCAGAGAGCTTCCATGTGCCATACAAGGACAGGACCTCCTGTTGGGAGACTTTGCCCTGTGTATTTCTTCAACTACTAATTTGTATCCTTTAATATCCTTTGTAGAGCATCAGTAATTTACTGAGTAAATAGGTTTTCCTGTGAGGGATTGTAGGAACTTCTGATGTATAGCCAGTCAGAAGTACAGGTAACAACCTGGCATCTGAAATGGAGGGCCATCTTGTGTAACTGAGCCCTTTACCTGTGGAATCTGATTCCACCTCCAGCTAGAATTCAGTCCCCATGCTGGCACCCAAAAATTGCTCAGTGTGGGGAAGCCCCACACACACACACGGGAATTGGGACCAGGAACCCCATTCAATTACTCAAGTGCTTTCTTGAAATTTCTGGGTCATTTTTTAATTCAGAGGACTCTAAGTTTCTAATGCTACAGTGAGGAAGCCTACTGAGGATACAGTTACAAATCTACCACTAGCAACAAGGTTTAAAAGGATGGTGGGAAAATGAACAACTTCTATTATGGGCTATCTAAACAAAGTACCTTGCCTTTTTAATCTCTGGGCCCCCATGGCGTTCTCCCATCTCTCATCTCTCATCACTCAAACTTTCTCTTCCTCAAGTCCCTTATTCTAAACCACCAAAACCAAACCTAAGATGACTTTATCTCCTGCTCAGGAAGGATGGTTTCAATCAGATATGAGCCCCTCATTTGACCTACTAAACTCAAGTCCGGCAGGTTCACACATTTCCTCACTCACTGAAAGTCAGCCCTCCACCCGGGCTCTGGCTCCCAGTCTTTCTGGCTTCCAGACTCTCCTCATCTGGTAACTCCCCAGCTCTACTGGTTTAGTCTTCAATGAAACAGCATCCCTTCAGTGAGGCCTACCCTAACTCCCTATTTAAAGCAGCAATTCTGTCACCTTCCCTATCCCTCGTACCTGCTCTGCATTTCCCCCATGGCATTTTTCACTTTCTCCATTTAGCTTTCTTACTATCTGTGAGATCAGTTAGGGCAAGGATCCCTATCTTTTATCCACTCATGTATCCTTAGCACCCAGATACTTAATGCTTTGCTAGGTTGAATCGGCTCCTTGAAGAGTGACCTGAACAAGATGATCTCTTGCAGCTCTTATATTTTATTAATTCTTGCTCCTGGTTCATATCTATGTACTATTATGTTTTTCTGTTTGGAGGAATCTTTCACAGATGGAGAAAAATTCATAAGAGTCTGCCTTTATATATTTCTTCTTTGATACCAATACACTGGGCATGTTCCCACACATGCAAAGAAAGCAAAGAACCTTAGGGTGAGTAGAAATGAGAATAGTCCTTCATAAGTATTTTCCTAACTTCTTTGTCCACTCCAAGCTAATTAAGTGCTATCCTTCATTAAGTTGGTTTACAATGGAAATTTTTCTGAAATAATTAAATCACACATGCTTCTAAGAATCTCTGTCCTTCAAGAGATCCCAAACATATGGGCCACAAAATGAAAGTTCAGTTCAGAAGAACAAACCAAGATCAGTGAGAAAGGTCTGAATGTGCTGGCCTGGGGCAGAGCAGGATAAGCCAACCAACCGGAGCTCTTACCTGTGCCAGGCCTCCCAGGAGGGGACAAATTCCATGCGGTCTTATCACTTAGGGCAGCTTCGGGCTCTCCTGGCTGACCTGGAACCATAAAGGCAAGGGGCTGCTTTGGCTAGAGAGGCCCTTGAATTTCCTAACCTTACCCCAAGAGGATTTCCCAGCAGTCCCTATTCTCCTTCCAGTGTCCCCTGAGATTCTCGAGAGGCACAGAGCAAGTGCAAAATAAGAGACAGACAAGAAAAGACAGAAAGAGCATGCCTAATGCCCCAGGTCTACTATCTTCAAGCATGGGAAAATAAAATATATCATCATGAAAAAAGGGCCAGAAGTAACACTATGAGACAAAGCCATCAATTCAGCAGGAAGATCCTGAGGCTTACTTGACACCTTGGTGAAGTTAGTTCATGGATGAACTATGGTAACCAGACATGGAGGACATTCCTTCCCAGAATCTAGATCTTATATAGAGGTAACTCCCATTTCTCTATAGATGATAGCTCTGCTGATGATGGGTATGTGGGTTAAGCAAGTGATCTATTCACTTGCACTTCATTATGTTGCTTGTTTTCCATTAATCTGCCCTAAAATAAGGAACTCTACAGACCTTCAATACATATTTTTCGTTTTATAATTATATATATTCAAACTATCATTTAGAAAGAGGAAAACACTTTTTAGTTAGCATAAAAAACCCAATGTACATTAAATGTTATGTAATTTAAACCAGTCTCTTGAGCACTTGACTGAAATAAAATGGTACCAGATATAAAGTGTGAGAAAAATGCCTTTTGAAAAGAAATAAAATATACATATAAAATTTTCAATGCTAAAAATGCTACTCCAGAATTTTAAAAAAGTAAAGACTTACTTCCACTCTTGAGTAGTCGCTTTTCTTCTTCCTTCAGCTTGTTCTGCATCAGACGGAGAGTATTTTCGGCTTCCTATGGAACAAAAAAAGATACAGAAGAGATGACCCTTTTTGGATATTTTATTATTTTTTACCATTTGAGTAAGTAATGCCAAGTTTGTGATACAGAACCAGAACAAAATCTAAACCAAAAAAAGGGGAAGAGCCCTAGCCAGTTTGGCTCAGTGGACAGAGCATGGGCTTGCAGACTGGCAGGTCCTGAGTTCGATTCTGGTCAAGGGCATAGGATGTAACCTAGGTTGCAGGCTTGATCCATGGCCCTGGTCAGGGTGCATGTGGGAGGCAACAAATTGATGTGTCTTTCATATCAATGTTTCTCTCTATGTCTCTCTAAAAATTAATGGAAAAATATCCTTGGGTAAGGATTTAAAAAATAAAATAAAGAAGAAAGGGAAGAAAACTAACACTACCTGAGATACTACTGCAGTTGGGAAGCCTGATACCCTTGATTTGTCAACAAGTACAAAGTAACACACCAGAAAGAATGGTCTGTGCAGAAGAAGGGGCTAAGCACTTACCTCAAACCTCTCTTGTTCCATCCTATGATGATCCTCGAGTTGCTGTTCCAGATAAGCTAGATTTCGAAATTTCTCCAGATAAATGTCATACTGCTTTTGCAATTCTTCTTCGATCTTCTCATATTCATCCATAAAGGCTGGTCTAAAATGATCAAATGAAATAAAAAGTGAAAGATTAATTGGTATATAGTAGTTTGAAATTGGTATTCAGAGTTTCATATTCTGTCATGGCTTTCTTTAAAAAGTCTTGAATTAATTGGAGGAAAGGCTTCACAGTTCTCCAACAATAGCTTGAAGCTAATTTCCCCTTTTCTCTTCCCTCTTCCAAAAATGAACATACTTTTTTCATCAAAGAAGATGTGATTTTTATAAAAACTTGAAATAATGCTGGAAGTATAAATAAATAAAAAAATGTTCATAATCCCATCACCAGGTATAAGCACTTAACATCTGACATATATTCTTCCAGACTTTTCTATACATATCCTACATAATCCTATATAATAAAGAGGAAATATGCAAATTGACTATCACTCCAACACACAAGATGGCAACCCCCATGTGATCAAAGATGGCCGCCACAAGATGACCACCAGGGAGAGCAGTTGGGGATGATCAGGCCTGTAGAGGAGGGAAGTTAGGGGTGATTGGGCTGGAAGAGGAGGACAGTTGGGGGGAACCAGGCCTGCAGGGGAGGGCAGTTGGGGGGAACCAATGGATTTCATGTAACCCACATACATCTCCTCTTTTAATTGTAATGTATAAAACAAGGTGCAAAACTGCCATTCTCTGGAGCATTAACTCAATCTGTTGAGATTATACTTCCTTCCTAGCACTTGTGGACACTTTAGCTCAAATAAACTCACAAAAAATTCTTCACAGGCTTGAATCTTTCTTATGTTAACACATTTTTTAGTAAACATTAAGTATATTACTTTAAATCAGTGATTTCAACACTGTTGTGCCACAAGAATTTTTAAAACATTCAATACTTGACTATTTAGTCAAAGACACTGACCTCTTTTTCCTTAGGTTGTCAAATTAAAAACAAAACCAAAAAACTAACAACAGCCAACACAATAAGAGCTATCTGGTATGAATGAATCAAAATTATACCCATTTTTTGTCAGATTAGAAAGAAATATAATATTTTAGTAATTAATTTAGTTATTCCATGAGATGAGAAAAGTTGGAAATTGTCTTAAATGAAGCTCTACAGTCTTTTTTCTCACTTGATAAGCCACAGATTGATTTATTTTTATTAAGGTATTAGATGTGTACATACCTTTCCATTGCCCCCCCACTAAGCCACAGATTTAAATAGTTTAAAAATTAGCATATAGCATACACATATCTCAAAATCATACACATATAGCATACACATATCTTAGTTGGGTATAATACTTTGCTATGCCAAAATTTAACCAGTCCCCTAAAAAGGAAAATATAGATTGCTATAAATTAAAGTTTTTAAACAATATAAAATTACAAACTAAAACCAATAACATAAAAAGCTATTTCAATTGGTTTGCTGAATTACTTTTTTCTTATTTAAGGGAAAATCTGTTCTTTTAAAGATAAACTAAAAAAAAATGTTATAACCTTTTGCACTAAAGCTAAACACACAAACCTTTTTATTAAAAGGATTTAAGGCTTAACAAAAATGAACTGACACTTGAAAGGCAGAACTTAATGAGACAAGTCTATCTGGTGGCCCTGGTTCTAGAGGCAGCGCAGTTGAGGTCCCTGGGCTGGGAGGAAGCCTTTGATGTTTCCTGAGTAACTGGCTGCTGTCCCAGGTGCTGCCTCCCCACACATCTAGGACAGTAGCTGACTGTGGGCCAGTCACCAATATCTCAAAAGAGCAAGACACACTGAGAGCAGGTACAGCTAAACGGGGGAAGGAGTAAAGAAAGAAAAACAAAAGGAGATTGAAAAGGGTGAAAGAGTAGTGACATGGGAGAAAGAACAACAACAAAAAAGAACAGTAAGGGAAGGAGGGTACAAAATGAGAGGAGAGAAGGGAAGGAAATGAGAGAGATTCCAAAAAATATGAGGAACATGCTTGAAAGGCTCCAATGACTTAGAAGGTGTTTTGCACCACTATCATCTATCTATAGTCCCTGGGAAACACACTTTCAGTGAGGGAAAGTTGGAAGAAAGATGAATTACTGGTGAGGAAATAAAATTCTAAGTCTACTACTTAAACCAAGAAATGCAAGTATGCTTGTTTCCACCTAATTTATGGCAAGGCACAGACCTTAGGAGACCAAGTCTTATATATTAATAACTTTTACCATCTGGATTTACTTATTTCGCCTTAAATTCCAAGAAGCTATAAAAACTGAATGGAAGTTCAAGAATTAAGCAGTTTTCCAGACATGCCGCAAAGAAAATGAGTTTAGAGGTGTGCTTGTTTGAACATTCTGCAGTAGAGATAGCCTTATTCAAGGCTTCTCCCACTGTCTGAAGGGTTAATATCACTGACAGTACATTCTCTCAATCTGTTTGAACTTTCAAAGACAGCTTTCTGCTCATTCTTTGGGTTCATATATACCTGACACTCTGCAGAGTCTGGAGTCGCTTCCGGTTTCTTTCCAGTTCTAATTTCCGCTTTTCAATTTTGGCTTCTAAATTAGCTTCGTCAGAGGCCACGTTATTGAGCAGGTCTTTTGTCTTCTGAACCTGAGCCTGCATTTAATAGGAAATGAATGAGACAATTTCCCAGTAAGGACCTCCAACTCAATATTTCTCAAATTCTCTGGCACAGCAATACCATGCTAAATAAAAACAAAAGTAAGCAAACAGAGCAAACCTTCCCTCAAGTCATTATGTAACCGACTGTTCCCAAAGGGAACATCACATAGGCCCAGACAAAATTATTCTTCTTTTTTTACCCCATGAGAAGGTGTTTCTGCCAAGGGAAACAAATAAAGATGGAAAGAACATCGTCCTAAGCAGAGTGGAGAGAGGCCTGAGATCTCCTGGCCTGCTCACTTGTTTATAGACTGATTACCTATCATTCTGAATTGTTAGTCTGCTTTTATTTACATCTTGTTCAGGCTTCTCCCATAGTTACAAATATCGGACTTCCAGAATATATAGGGATAGGCAAAAGTGGGTTTATTAATATCATTGATCATATGGGAAAATATATGCAGGTTATGATTATTACAATAGCTTTATTAACTCAAAAGAATGTCACAATGGCACAGTGCACTTAGGTGCAATCTTGCAAGTGCTCAAATTGCTGGCCTTCAGTATTTACACATTCTTTTTTTAAAAATATATTTTATTGATTTTTTTACAGAGAGGAAGGGAGAGGGATAGAGAACTAGAAACATCGATCAGCTGCCTCCTGCACACCTCTTACTGGGGATGTGCCCGTAACCAATGTACATGCCCCTGACTGGAATCGAACCTGGGACCCTTCAGTCCACAGGCTGGCGTTCTATCCACTGAGCCAAACCAGTTTCGGCGAATTTACACATTCTTGTAGTTTACTTGCTATAGTCAAGCACATTTTGTCACTGAGTTCTTTTACCTACTTTTGCCCATCCCTGTAGGCACACACAAGTATGGCTTTATTTAGGAGGGGACAAAAGGAAACATTAGCTGGACCTTGCCTGCTGGGATTGAGAGATTCCTTTTTTTCTCTCCCTGGCTACTGAACCTTGACTACAGACTACAAGAAACAGGGAAACCACTCTGTGAAGTCAGACAGAAAGTGGCAGTATATACCAGCCACTGGGAGAGTGCCTTGGCAGCAGTGGGCAGAGGCTCTTGGGCGAGGGGGGCTGAGTAAGGAAGTAAAGGGGATGAATGATCACTGATGAAAACTACAGGCCTCCCTGTCCTTTCGTAAAAGCAAGTTTATTTGAAGCAGTGGTAGTCCAAGTAAATGGAGTGTGTCTTCACAGGTATGTTGTCTGGGAAGCTGGCCAGGATGGGGCCTATGTATGATAGCAATCTGACATCAGAATAATGCCTAAAATACAACAACCGAGCGTGGAACTGCCTCCCCAAGTTCGGGCTCTCTGACTGCCTTAAGTTCCTGATTGCCAAGATGGGGCTCTCCCCTCCAATACACTGCAGGTCTCTGAAATGCTATGGGGTATACAAAGAAATCACCTAAGGAGACTAGGCCCTCTCCACAACTCACAGAGACAGTGTGTATTTGGAAGCAACTACTTTCATTGATAATGAATTTATGGTTAAGTTATTTTGTCTGAGACACCTAACCATTTCTAAGATGCTTTCATGGAAATACTATCACTAAACATCCATTTGCTGTAAGTGCTTTAAAAATACCAGCAGAAAGCTTCAGGTCAATCTGGCAGCATAGATACTCAAATCCTTACCAACCACATCAAAATTACAACTTAACTGCCCTAGCCGGTTTGGCTCAGTGGATAGAGCATTAGCCTACAGATTGAAGGGTCGTGGGTTCGACTCTGGTCAAGGGCACATGCCTGGGTTGCAGGCTTGATCCCTTGAGTGGGGTGTGCAGGACACATCTGATCAATGATTCTCTCATCATTAATGTTTCTCTCTCTCCCTTTCTCTTTCTCTCTAAAAACAATAAAAATGTGTTAAAAGAAAATATATAACATTTAAAAAAAAAAAAAGAAATATCAATGATGAGAGAGCATCCCCTACAGGAAATCAAGCCGGCAACCCGGGCATGTGCCTTAACTGAGAATCAAGCCTTGACCTTCTGGTTCATAGGTCAATACTCAACCAGCGGGCTGAAATAATATCTTAAAAAATCTTCACTAAGTAATAGACTGTCTCTCATCTGGCTGTTCTATTTTTTATATATATGTAGTGCTAAAGGCACATTCATACCATGTTAAATTTATTCAGCCAGAACAATGACAAGCACAAGAATATTATCATGTCAATTTTTTTAAATTTAGAAGCAACCATGAACTTACAAACAGCTGGAGTATAATACAAAGCAGTTCTTTCTGGACCTAGGAGAGTGAATTGCTGACCCCGATGCCCGTCACCTTTAGCTATTTTAGTGTGTATTTCCTATGAATAAGGACTTTCTCCTACAGAACCACAATACAATCATCAGAACAGAAAATGAACACTGATGCACTATTGCCATTTAACCCTCACACCCACCCCAGTTTGTCCTCATGAAGTCCTTAACAGCAGAGGTCACCGCTGGCATTTAGCCTCCTTAGGTCTGGAATGCCCTTTTCACTGTTGAAGAGTATGAGCCAGATAATTTATAGGATGTCCCCAATTTGTCTTTGTCTTTGATTAGCTTCAGGTTATGAATCTTTAGCAGAAATAGCACAGATATGACTACATCATACCATGTGTGCATAATTTCGAATTGTCCCATTACTAGTGATGTTCACTTTGATCACCTGGTTTAAGGGGGTGTCTGTCAGGAATCTCATGTGAAGTTACTCTTTTCCCCTTTGTAATTAATTGTATTTTGTGGAAGAGCTACTTTGTGTTTTGTTGTTTTTTGTTAATACCAGAGGATATTTTTTCTACAAAAATTGATTTTCAGAGAGTGAGAGGGGGAGAGACAGAGAGAGAGAGAGAAACATCAATGTGAGAGAAATGCATCGATCGGCTGCCTCCTGTATGCACCTTGACCGGTCAGAGAACTGAGCCTGCAACCAAGGTACTTGCCCTTGACTAGAATTGAACCTGTGATCTTTCAATCCGCAGGCCAATGTTCTAACTAACCACTGATCCAAACCGGCTAGGGCTGGAATTACTTTGAAACTATGTGAAAAACTAGCTGTCAATATATTCACTTATTTTTTTTTATATCAGTGAAAACCCATCATCTCCCGTTTCACTCAATGGTCAATAATCCATTATGTTATTTATTTATTTTGGTCTTAAACTGTCCTCATTTGGCCAGGGGAAGCCTACTCAAGCTGGCTTCTGTGTCCTTTTCACAGGTCCCTTTCATTCTTGGAGCACTTCCTTGCTTTCTGGTACAGGATCTTGCACTTCCTGTTCTTCTTCTCACCCTACTGAGGCTCTGGAACCCCATGCTGGGTCTCCCAGGGAGCATTACCATTTTATAACAGGGTCATTTCCCCCCCCCCCAATATATTTTTATTGATTTCAGAGAGGAAAGGAGAGGGAGAGAGAGAAACATCAATGATGAGAGAGAATCATTGATTGTCTGCCTCCTCCAAGTCCCACAATGGGGATTGAGCCTGCAACCCAGGCATATACCCTGACCAGGAATTGAACTGTGATCTCCTGGTTCATAGGTCAACACTCAACCACTGAGCCATGCCAGCTGGGCTATAGCAGGGTCTTATAAAAACCTATCCATCTGAGAATGTTGTACAACTCTCAGCAAATTGTTTTATACCTATCCCTGCCTGTGCCTACTGAAAAAAGTGATCCTAATAATGACTAAATACCTACTTTATGCCAGAGACTATGTATGACACGCACCATTGTAATGAATGCTCAAAGGACCCTATGTGGCCATTTTCTTCATTTTACAGATCAGGAAAGGGAGGCACAGAGAGGTTAAATAACTTGCCTAAGATCCAAATAGTCTGAGTCTAGAATGCCCCTCACTATCTTCCTTCCAAATAAATGAGCAAATGATAATTGACCAATGATCATGCTATTTATTACAGTGATGAATAGAATTAAGAAAATCAAGAAATTATTTAAGGCACAGCAATGAGGAATTGGTTAAATAAAGTATGAAGAGCCCATAAAATAGAGCATTATTTACTTAAATAATTAAAAATTTTAATATAATTTTAAATTATTAAAATTTACAAGCTTTTAGTAAACATGAGCTGTTCGTATTTATAATAAGAGGAGAAAAGTAAGTGAGCTAAATATTCTAGAATGTTCTCTAAATTTTTCATTTCCTTATTATAATATATCCTCTTTTGTAACTAGGGCTAGCTTTTTGTTCTGTCATATGGAGGCAAGATATCAATTAATCCTCACCTAAGGATATTTCTTCTATTGATTTTTAGAGAGAATGGGAGAGAAAGAAGCAGGAGAGAAAGAGAGAAACATTGATGTGAAAGAGACACATCGATTGGTTGCCTCCTGACAGGGGCTGGAGATCAAACATGCAACCCAGGTACTTACCCTTAACCAGAAGTAGAACCCACAACCCTTCAGTGCACAGGCTAATCTCTATCAGTGAGCCACACTGGCCAGGGCAGAAATCATATGTTTAAGACAAGGCACAAAAACACCACATAAAGGCAAAGTAATCTTACCAAAATATCTTTTATTGCAATTCTCATCACTTTTTCAGTCTCGTTTATTTCCAGAGGTCTAGCAATTGCTTCTGTTCTCAGTTCCTATGGAAAACAATGAAATAAAATTACATATATTTTCAGAAGAGGAATTCTCAAAACCAATTTCCAGATCTAGAAACAGCTTACTGGCTGGTTCCTAAAGGTTTAATTAAAATGTAGGTCTCTGATGAAAAAACCTTACAACCATCACCTTCTCCAAACGTCTCCTGTAATTCCACTGCCCACCTGGCCTCCCTCCGCCCCACTGGCCTGTCTCCGCCCACCTGGCCTCCCTCCCCCGACCTGGCCTCCCTCCGCCCCACTGGCCTCTCTCCGCCCACCTGGCCTCCCTCCGCCCACCTGGCCTCTCTCCCTCCGCCCACCTACCCTCCCTCCCTCCACCCACCTGATCTCCCTCCGCCCACCTGGCCTCCCTCCGCCCACCTGGCTTCTCTCCCTCCGCCCATCTGGCCTCCCTCCGCCCATCTGGCCTCCCTCCGCCCACCTGGCCTCCCTCCGCCCACCTGGCCTCTCTCCCTCCGCCCACCTAGCCTCCCTCTGCCCATCTGGCCTCTCTCCCTCCGCCCACCTGGCCTCCCTCCGCTCATCTGGCCTCTTTCCCTCCGCCCACCTGGCCTCCCTCCGCCCACCTGGCATCTCTCCAGTGCTAAGGCCTCCTTTTCAGCTACAGATCCCAGGTCCCCACAGCACCACGGCAACTTACCATCCCTCACTTCTAAATTTGCTTCTTTACCGGCATTCTATTTAGGGGACTCCAAAACCAAGCTTAACTTGCTGTCTGAATCACCTGCCAGCCTCTACAATCTTTCTTATGATTAAGGTCCTCTAAGTTGACTATCATTGAAAACTACAACCAATGAGAAAAGTGGCCTTCGCCCTGCCCCTAGCATTAATCATGGACCAATCAATAGAGACATTTCTATCTATCATATCAATACTGGGAGCTTCTGAAATATGGAATTTTAATGGGCATGCAGTTATGAGATGCCTGAATCACTTTATCCCACTCTTGTCTCGTGCTTCTTTAACTCCACAGTGCACCTTATCTCCCCATTGGTAGAAAACTTATTGAGAGAAGGGATTAAGACTCACTCAAGGCTCAGTGCCTTGTCTGTGGGTGCTTTGGTTCCTCGATGAATGTTGGTTGAGTGTATGAAAAACAAATACTGGCTAGGGCATCTTCCTCAATCACGACTGCGCACAGAATTTGAGAAGGGTCTCATGGCTTCCATGGTAACAGTTCAGCCACTGACTGTTTCATCAATTCATTACGGAAAGGTGCTAAAAGGGTCCCTAGTGAAATCTCACAATGAAGCCATCACTCTATTCCACTGACTAACAGCAAGTGACCAGCTCCTGTCTCTAGGTCTGTTATGAACATGTATAGACATGTGCACTATGAACAGAAAACAGTGAAAGCCTGAAGTTGCCCCATTAGTTATCTAAATTAGCAATTAGACATTAGTGGCAGTTTTGTTCTGTCAACTGCACTTTAGCAGGTGGCAGCCACTATATCAAAAGCAGGCATGGTGACCTGGCATTCAACTCTCCCACTCTAGTCTTCTCTCCTAGGGCAGAAATGAATGGCAAGAGGAAAAAATACCATAACACTGTAGCAGCAATGCCAGAACACAGGCAAGGAAGTGAGAGAGAGTGGTCATGGCTGACATACCTGATGAGAATGGAATAAATTAAATGTATATAATTTAAAAATGTTAGATGAGAGTATGTGTCCTTCAAGTGCCATAAATCCTTACAGGTAATAACTAAATAATATTCCATTTCTTCTTAAACCAGTGGACCCCAAATTCTGCTGCACTCTAGAGTTACCTGGAAATCTTTAAAAACTTGATGCCGGGCTCCCACCCCCAGACATTCTGACTCATTGGTTTCTGGGAAAACCTGGACATCAGGTGCTTTAAAAGCTCCATAGGAGCTCTATGGAAGTCCTCCAGGACCACACTCTTAAATAGCTCCTTAAATATGATGGAGCATACTCCTCGCATGACATTAACTAGAATAGGATTGCAAGTAAACTTTTTTTTCTTTTTCTTTTTAAAAAAAATATATTTTATTGATTTTTATACAAAGAGGGAGAGAGATAGAGAGTTAGAAACATCAATGAGAGAGAGTCATCGATCAGCTGCCTCCTGCACACCCCCCACTGGGAACATGCCCACAACCAAGGTACATGCCCCCGACCGGTCCCCTCAGTCCCCAAGCCGATGCTCTATCCATTGAGCCAAACCGGTTTCGGCGGATTGCAAGTAAACTTATTTTTTTTTTTATTTTTTTTTTTTAAATATATTTTATTGATTTTGTACAGAGAGGAAGGGAGAGAGATAGAGAGCTAGAAACATCGATGAGAGAGAGTCATCGATCAGCTGCCTCTTGCACACCCCCTACTGGGGATATGCCCGCAACCAAGGTATATGCCCTTGACTGGAATCGAACCCGGGTCCCTTCAGTCCCCAAGCTGTTGCTCTATCCATTGAGCCAAACCAGTCTCGGCGGATTGCAAGTAAACTTAAACTGTTAACTTTAACTGATCAGTAGCGACTGCCTAGATTACTGGTTCCCAAACTTTTCTGTGCGTTAGAATCACAATGCCCAAGTCACATTTCATACCAATGATATCAAAATGGAAAGCCAGGCATCTGTAGTTGCATTGGGTGATTGCATTGGGCAGCAAGGTTTGGGAACCATCATGGTTCAGAAGAGGATTTTGTTGAGAAGAATGTTGAGGCTCAGTTCACCAAGAAAAGCACCATGATCAATAAAGTATGACATGGACAAAGAAGAAGTCTTAGTAACATGCCACATACTAGTATTTGCCTTTCCTGAACTAGAAGTCAAAGTTATTAAAAATAGACCAGTGCCCACTGAAGCAGGAACAGCAGCAAACACTATATATTACTCTTACACATTGTATCATTTAATCAGGTACAGTTTAGTAAAATCAGAAAAACAGGGGCAAAAAAGAATTGGAAAAGAAATCCTTGAAAGTCTGCTTAGCTGAGAAAGTAATTAAGTTATCTGAGCACTGCTTACCCTCAACTCCACCTCCTTGCCCAGCAGGTCATACAGAGATGCTCCTTTGTAGGTGATTTCAGAAGCAAGCTGCCTGGCTGCTTTCAAATCTGCAATCTGGAAGGAGAATATCAAAAACAGGAACTTCAGTGACAGGTTTTTAATAGGCATTCAGAAATAATCAGTCTGATAGCAATTCCCACCTCCAGTCAGAATACTTGTCTACAGAACACATTTTCCACAAGACATATCCTTACACCCTGTGGAAGAGAGCTCAGAGGATACCAGTTTAGGAAACACTGATTTAAGTACAAATTAGAACAACTTCGGGTCTCTTTAAAAACCCAAATGTCAAGTCAAATGCTTTCTATTTGGACTAGGTCACCGCAGGGGACCCCTACCGTGGTGAGTGACAGGAGAACACACTTCCTATTGTAGTACAGCATCCTGATGCCTTCTGTCCCCTCATTCTCTGCCTTTAGACTGCACTTCACATGATTGCTGGAAGGATCAAATGAGTTAACATGCAATAGAACCCAGCTCTCACAAGGGTGGCAGCCATTGCTATGAAGAGGAGGAGGATGATGATTTAGCATCTATCCCCGTGCGCAACTTCTTTTTTGGGATTTGCATGTCACCTCTTCTTCCTCGAATATATTAAATTTTCAGAGTCCAAACAAACATCTCCCTGCTCTGCTCATGCTCCTTCTCCTAAACAACAAATCCCCAGTGTCTCTTTTTAAATATATATATATATTTTTTTTATTGATTTCAGAGAGGAAGAGAGTGGGAGATATCAAGATAGAAATATCAATGATGATAATCATTGATTGGCTGCCTCCTGCACCAACCTCCTACTGGGGATTAAACCCGCAACCTGAGCATGTGCTCTTGCTTGAAATCGAACCCGAGACCTCCAGTCAGCAGGCCAATGCTCTATCCACTGAGACAAACAAGCTAGGGCCCCGGTGTCTCTTTTTTATTTTCAAACCATCAGCACTGACTCTCAATATTCATTCACAGCTGACTTTCTCCCTATTTCCTTAGTCCTCTAGGATTCTGCTCCTGCTAGCTCTACTTCTCCCTCCTTACTAGCAACAGGCTTTTAGGAAATAGTTAAATTACTTTATTATGACTTCTGCTTCTATCCAAATGCTGATGAGTTCAAAACTGACGAACGGCCCTCGTTCAAGGAGTAAGAAAAGAAGCAGTGCGAAGAGTATATGACATGTCTCATTTCAGAGTGAGAAATACACTTTCATCCCTCCATACAAGCCCTTCACTGTCCTTACCTTTGAGCCAAGATCAAACTTGAATTTGCTGATGTCGTCCTCTCCTATTTTGGAGCCCTCCATCCCCTTGGTCTTCATAGCATTGTAAAGGACAGAGGTGATCTTCAGCAGTTCTTTCACTGCATACCCATCTGCTTGATAAAGCTTCTTAGTATTGAGTTTTATATGTGCTTTTGTGGCCTATTTTCAGACCAAAACAAACAAACAATTTAAGGTCTTTCCATGCAGAATCTAAACCAAATCTCATATAGGTAATTTGAAAATGTCTCTGTGAACAATTGGGATATAACCTGATTATAATAAGAATCAAACTTTCAAATGACTCATACATTGCAAGTAGTTGTGTAAACTGATATAACCTTTTCTTTGTTTTGATATAATCTTGATGGAGAGCAATATGGTAAAAGATAACACAATTACAAATACATATATCTTTTGACCTAGCAATTCCAATCCTGAGAATTTATTTTAAAAGATGGATATAGTAACAAAATAAATCAGATGCATATAGGTTATCTGTTACAGCATTACTTCAAAGAGCAAAGGTTATAAACACCTAAATGACTATCCATATAAATTATATAAATTGTGATTTATCCAGGCAAGCAATGCTATTCGGGTGTTAAGAGAGAATAAGAAGTTCTATATGTATTTGGAAAGTTTTCCAAAATGTATCATTAAGAAGCAAGATTATAAATAGACCGAAACTGGTTTGGCTCAGTGGATAGAGCATCAGCCTGCGGACTGAAGGGTCCCAGGTTCGATTCCGGTCAAGGGCATGTACCTTAGTTGCGGGCACATCCCTAGAAGGGGATGTACAAGAGGCAACTGATCGATGACTGTCTCTCATCGATGTTTCTAACTATCTCTCTCCCTTCCTCTCTGTAAAAAATCAATAAAATATATATTTTTTAAAAAGATTCTAAACAGTATGCCACCATTTGTGCCAAAAGAAGGAAAAGAATTTATAACCTATTTGCTTACATATGCATAAACTCTGGAAATTATTAATAGTAATTACTGGGAATGGAACTGGGCAGAAGGCAGATAGCATAGAGGATAAACCCTTTTAATCTATCATTTCATGATGTACAAAAAAAATTTTTTCTGAACCATGAAATATGTAATCTATTCAAAAATAAATTAAAATCTTAACAAATAGTGAATTAAAACTAAATACTTTGCTGGAAAAATGGCTTTACAGAAAACTGTTAATAGGTTTAGAAACTTGAAAGAAGCCTTAACTAGGACTTCTTTCTTTCTAACATATTTAATTTTACAACTCCATCAAATAAACACGAACTAACCATGAACTGGGCAACTGACTTAATAAAGAAAACTCGGTCTTGTTCCGTCTCAACATCAGAAGGTATGTCAGTCTGAGGTTCATACCTATGAGAGAGAGCAGACAGACACAGAGAAGACACCAGTTAATTACTATACAGTCCAGAAAAAGTAAGTGGGCAACTGACACAAGAAGCTCTCTGAGTCCCCTAAGAAGTCAGCAAGATTAAGAAAGACTTCAAAAGCAACACAAAACACCAAATATCCAAGGGAGCAAATCCTCACCCCAAGAATAGGTCTAACTAACTTCAAAAATCAAATTTGGGGCTCAGTTTACAAAATTAAATCTCTCAGATCTCAAAGTTTAATTAAAATAATCAGAATGACTACTTTGGCTGACAGCCCTTAACCCAGAGCTAACCAGTTTGCTCTGAGAAGCAGCAGAATTGTTGGAATTACTTTCTTTCTTTTTTCTTTTTTTTTATGGAATTACTTTCTTTATGATACTAATGACGGGCCAGGAGTCGGCAGACTGCAACCCTTAGTGTCTTTCTGTACAGCTTGCTAGTAAAAAGGGTTTTATATTTTTCAATGGTTATAAAAAACAAAACACAAGATAGAATATACAAGAGAGATCTTGTGTTGCCTGCAACACCTGTCTTTGCTATCTTCTTCTTTTTTCTTTTTTCCCCCATCTTTTTAACAAAAGTTTTCCAACCACAGATGTTAGATACTGGGTTTTACACACAAATTGAAATTGAAATTATTTAATCCAGTGTACCCATTTGAGAGTGTGCGAAGTACCTTGTCACTCCCTGATGAAGGTGAGGGAATAGAGGAACTTGGATCCCAGTGTCTGCTTCCTCCTGAGAAACAGTCTCCCTTTACCACTCACTGGTATATTTCTATTCCCACAACACTCTCTAAAAGTCAACTGACTTTTAACAAGGTTACACCTAAATCTGTCAAACTCAAATTTTATTGAACACTTCCTTTAGCTTCACAACAATAACCTGTTTCTAATAAATAAAATTGAGTATTCATTCTTAGATTGCAACGAAGTGCAATTCTAACCTTTTCACAAGCCAGAGAAGAACTTCAGATACAAGTCCAAAATTTGGTGTGCGGAAATTTTCCATAGAAATATGTCGAGGGTATCCCAAGGCTCTCATCATCTCTGTAAAATCTGTCCAAGTAAAATACAATTCAGTCAACTCGTTGTCAAACAACAACTAATTAACTTACTTTCTCTGCCTTCCCTTATTCCCAATCTATTGACGGTTTTAGGGACAATTTATCAACTCTCTAAAAGGGAAGTAAAAAAGTAGTTAAAACTTAAAATAATCTACTTCCTGAAAAACATTTAGAGTGCCATGAGAGAAGTGGAAGCTGTATATTACAATGTGGTTTAGAGATTGGGTGTGAATTTAATTTCTCTTTGATCTCTCCCTTGAATATCTTCTTACCACTAAAAATGAGAAATACCTGGTCTTATAAAATGTCATAAATAAAAATATTTTAAAATATTAACAGTGATATATGGGGGGCGGTGATGGTGGAAAGGTAAAATGCATGTTTCTGAGTTGTCTTTTTTTCTTTTTCTTTTAGTGAGCACATAGTAACTTACTAACATAAATTTTAAAGATGAGTTGCGCTGTATCTAGAAAAATCTTAAAAGAGAATAGTTGAACTATAGAGCACTATTTAGATTTATTATAAAACAGATTAAAAAACAGTAATACTGACACTCTTTGATACCAGAGGTTGCTGTCACGAAGCTTTAAGCAGAACTTGAAAATGAACACAACAAACGTGTTTGAGTTCCAACAATATGCCAAGATCTTTATTCAGTGTGCTCAAGGCTATTTAATGTCTGTCCTCGTTCTTCTTGACGGTAGATGTTCAAAATGTCCCAGTAAGTCACAAAGAAGCTACCCGGACATCAGAGATTAGGTGGGATTCCACCAGGCCACAAAAGAGAAGGCACGAGCAGAAAAAAGAACAGTGGCACTGAGGGCCTCTGTCACTGTTTTTTGGGAAATCTGAATAGAGTGATGGAAAATAAAGCAGCAGTCTCCCTGTCAGAGTCAGGCATTGCCTAAATACTTCTTCCCACTGAGCAGTTCTGTTCATTATGCAGCAGAGTAAGATTCTTACCATAAATTGCACAATTGTATAGCATTCGTTTAATGTCAAAATGTTCAGAAATCCCTTCCTTGTATACTCCTCCCAATACAACTCCCTTCAATGTCCCCTAGCAGAGTGCTCTCTCTGAATTACCAGGAAAGAGAAACTTGTCCCTACAACATCTAGTCACCAAGAACCTTCAAATCCCAGAGGGAATAACTCACACTATGGGGCTAGTAGGCATAATAACAAAACGTGATGATGCATCTTCCTGTATATTTACATTGTAGAAAAAGAGCAACTCGTAACCACAGAGAGTGCTGAGCCAGGAGTAATCTTTAATGGTTAAATTCCGGATACCAGCAATTTAGTTAGAAAATTGGCCTTACAGAGCACACCAAACTGGCAATCCTGCTGCCAGTTAGCTGAACTGCTTCTGATTCAGTAAATGACACTGTATAAAGGGCAAGAGATTTTTTAAAAATTCTCACTTGAGAATATTCTTCACTGTTTTTAGAGAGAGAGGATAGGAGAGGTAGAGAGAAACATGGATTGGCTGCCTCAACCAGGCTCGAACCCACACACTAGGTATGTGCCCCGACCTGGAATAGAGCTCACAACCCTTTGGTGCACCGGACGATGCTTCAACCAACTGAGCCACCCTACCCTGCTAGGACAAAAGGCAAAATATTTTGATTCACACAGCACTAAGGCCCCATCCTTGGTTCCACCCAGTCTGGCTGTGTGGCCTAAAGATAGGTTACCTATCCCCGCCTCAAATTTCATCCAGGAAGTATACCACCTACCTCGCTGTTAAAGTGATAAGATAGTGAATGTAAAATGTAACTGATTCTCATACCCATTCTTCCACTTCTCCAACCTTCTAGCAAAGGCATTTGGTTTCCATTTCTCTCATCAGCGCCTTTAGAACGTTTGAAGGCTTTAGAGGTTAGACAACCTGAATTCAAACTCTAGCGCCAACTCTTACCACCTGGGTGTGTCCTCTCTGCGCCCGTTCCCTCATTTTTAAATATACAAGCGTGTTTAGAGGAGTACATAAAATGATGCACACACACAGTGAACATTTACTACCTGGAAGACTGTAAAGATTTAAAAAAAAAAAAAAAATGTCAGCCGCAATTATTATTCAGCCGCCATCCCCCTCGGCTTTATTGTTCGTTTCTCAAGGTCCTAACCTAACCCAGCCCCAAAACGGCTTCTGCGTTTTCCAATACGGTAGCGAAGTGGCTATACCAATCAATTAATAGCAGATAAAATTAAAACTTCAGTTCCTCAGCCGCACTAGCCACAGCCAGCGGCAGATACAAAACTTCCCATCACCACAGAGAGTGCTGAGCCAGGGCCGGGGCGGGGGCGGCCGCGGCCGGGAGAGGCTCGGCGGGGCCCAGGCGAGAGAACCCGGGGGCCGGAGCCCCTGCCTCTCGGGAGGCCCGCAGGCCACAAGGGACAGGGTTGCCTTACTGCGGAGGTCGCGGAAGGACATGGCGCTCTGCTCCCCACCAGCCCGGAGTCTCCGCAGCCCCCAAGTCGGTGCTGAAGGGTTTCTATGGCAACGCACGGAGTTCCCTACGGCGCGCAGCAGGGGCCAAACAACACAGGAGGCGAAGCGGCCGGACTGCGCGCGCACGCGCAGGAGAAAGGGAGGCGGGTTTGGGGATGCCACATGGAATCGAGAAGAGGTGCGGGATTACCGGCCGACGGGGAGATTCAAACCGCAGGGCATCTCTCTTGCAGAGAAACATTTGACACTGGCTGACACGTTCTCAGCACCTATTATGTTTATGAAACTATGCTAGGCGTCCTACATACTGCCTCCCATTTCCTCCTCAATTCCTTTTTAAAGAATGTACGGTACTGTCACGAAGCTGGGTATCCCTTGCCCAGCACACCTCTCTGGCGTGTGTAAACTGCTAGCTGTGGCTGCGTCAGAAGCCCCCGAAGACAGACCGCAGCTTTAAAGGGCATAACCCCGAACTTCAGACGGAACGCCAGGGCTGACCGCGGTATCGCGAGAGGATGTCAGGTCTGGAATTGCGCATGCGCATCGGGCTTGTTCTCACAACAGGCCGGAAATCGGTCTGGGTCCTCGCGCGCCGGCGGTTGTCCTGGTAACCGTGTTTTCCTTGGGGAGTGTTTGTGCGCCTTGTGGAGGGACGGGAAGGCTCCAGGGTGATGACTGTGCCCCAATTCGTGTCCAATCACCTGGGGCCTCAGGTGAGAGCCTTCCCTCGGCTGCTCTGGTGGAAGACAGGTGGAAAGAAGAGCTGGGAGATGAAGGGAGCTGAGCTTGGAAGGATGGGAGAGGAGGGACTGCCAACCGCTGGGATGTCTCCTGCCCCCATATTGGTATTGGCAAAGTAACAGACACATAAATGCACCGACGGTAAAGAGAACTCCCAAATACATCCACACACATATGGTCAGTAAGACAAAGGTGACATAGCACTTCAGTGGAGAAAGAATAGACTTTCAATAAAAGGTTTGAAACAACAATTGGAAATCCTAATAAATGAACCTTCATAATTACCTTACAAGAAACTACTGTTTATATCAAGTGCCCAATAAGGTATTTTTAAGTTTCTAGAAGAAAAGTTAGGGGAAAGCTTTAAGAAGGATTTCTTAGATACACCAAAAAATATTTTTTAAGTAAACTGGACTTTATAAAAAGTTAAAACTGCCCTAACTGTTTTGGCTCAGTGGATAGAGTGTCTGCCTGCGGACTCAAGGATCCCAGGTTCGATTCCGGCCAAGGGCATGTACCTTGGTTGCTGGCATCTACCCAGAAGGGGACGTACAGGAGGCAGCTGATGTTTTTGTCACATCGATGTTTCTGACTCTCTCTCCCTCTCTCTTCCTCTCTGTAAAAAATCAATAAAATATATATTTTTTAAAAGTTAAAACTTCTCTTCAAGACACTTTTTGAAAAAGTATTTGATTTCAGAGAGGAAGTGAGAGAGAGAGAGAGAGAGAGAGAGAGAGAGAGAGAGAGAGAGAAACATTGATGAGAGAATGAATCATAGATTGTCTGCCTCCTGCACACACACCCTCCCCCTCCTCAATGGGGATAGAGCTGCCAACCTGGGCGTGAGCCTTGACCAGAATCTAACCTTGATCTCCTGGTTTATGGGTGGATGTTCAACCACTGAGCCTCGCCAGTTGGACAAGGTACTTTTTTTTTTTTATGTATTTTATTGATTTTGTACAGAGAGGAAGGGAGAGAGATAGAGTTAGAAACATCGATGAGAGAGAGTCATCCATCAGCTGCCTCTTGCACACCCCCTACTGGGGATATGCCCGCAACCAAGGTACATGCCCTTGACCGGAATCGAACCCGGGACCCTTCAGTCCCCAAGCCGATGCTCTATCCATTGAGCCAAACTGGTCTCGGCTGGACAAGGTACTTTTAAGGAAATGAAAGACTAGCCCTCGTGGGTTTTTGCTCTGTGAATAGAGCATCAGCCTGAGGACTGAAGTTCCCAGGTTCAATTCCAGTCAAGGGTACAATTCCAGTCCAGGTTGCAAACATGATCCCTAGCCCGGGTGCATGCAAGAGGCAACCAATACCACATGTCTCTCTCACATTGATGCTTTTCCTCTCACTCTTTCCCTTTTCCCTTCCCATTCCCCTTCCCCTTCCTTCCACACTCTCAAAATCAATGGGAAAATACCCTCTGGTGAATATTAACAAAACAAAGAAAATGGAAGGATAATCCACCATTTAGAAGAAAATATTCACAAACCATCTGATGAAAAGTTTTACCCAGAATACATTGCAAATTCTAAAAACTCAATCCAATTTAAAAGTGGACAAAAAATGTAAATAGATACTTCAAAGAAGATGATATATGGCAAATAATAAGCAAAGCAAAAGATGCTCAATGTTATTAGTCCTTAGGAAAATGCATATTAAAGCACAATAACATATCGCTAGATAGTTATTTGTATGGCTAAGATAACAAACAACAAAAAGCCTGACAGTGGGAACAGCTCCAAAGAATATGTACCGACTTGAACTTTTGTACATTATTGCCTCCACCATTTTACATTCCCACTGGTAGTGTAGGAGGACTCCAGTTTCTCCATATCCTCATTAACATTTCTCAAATTCTTTAAATTTAATTATATCCATCTTATGGGTAAGAAGTAGTTATCACATTATTTTAGATTGTGTTTCCCTAGTGACTAATACTGTTGAGCATCTTTTCTTGTGCTTGTTGACAATTTGTGCATCTTCTTTGGAGAAATATCTACTCAACTTCACCATTTTTAAATTGGGTTGTCTTTTTGTTGTTGAATTACAAGACTTCTTTATATATTCTGCATACTACATACACACTTTCCAGATATACTAGAGGCCCGGTGCATGAAATTCATGCAAAGGGGGAAAGGGGTGTTGTTGTCTCTTAGCCCAGCCTGCACCCTCTCCTATCTGGGACCCCTCGAGGGAAGTCCAATTGCCAGTGGGATTGGGTCTAAACTGGCAGTCGGACATCCCTCTCACAATCCAGGACTGCTGGCTCCCAACTGCTCACTTGCCTGCCTTCCTGATTGCCCCTAATCGCTTCTGCCTGCCAGCCTGATCACCCCCTAACCACTTCCATGTCAGCCTGATTGATGTTTAAGTGCTCACCTGCCAATCTGTTTGCCTCCAACTTCCCTCCTCTGCCTGCCTGGTCACCCCTAACTGCCCTCCCCTACAGGGTTGATCACCTCCAGCTGCCCTTCCTTTCAGGCCTGGTCCCTCTCAACTGCCCTCCCTTGCAGGCCTGATGCCTCCTAACTGCCCTCCCCTGCTGGCCATCTTGTGGTGGCCATCTTGTGTCCACATGGGGACAGGATCTTTGACCACATGGGGACAGCCATCTTGTGTGTTGGAGTGATGGTCAATCTGCATATTACTCTTTTATTAGATAGGATAGAGGCCTGGTGCATGGGTGGGGGCCAGCTGGTTTGCCCTGAAGGTTGTCCCGGATCAGGGTGGAGGTTCCCTTGGGGAATAGGGTGGCCTGAGTGAGGGGCCTGTGGTGGTTTGCAGACTAGCCACCCCATCTGGCGCCCCACGGGGAGGCCCTGGTGTCTGGGATTTATGTATCTTCTACAATTGAAACTTTGTAGCCTGGAATGGAGCCAAGCCTTTTGCTTGCTCCATGGCAGCAGCCGTTTTTTGTTTGGATTTGTTTACCTTCTATAATTGAAACTGTAGCCTTAAGTGGAGGCCTAGGCCAGCAAGGGCAGGTGGAAAGCTTGGCTTCTGTTGCCTGGGAAACCCAAGCCTTCCTCCTGCTCTCTGTGGCTGTAGCCATCTTGGTTGGGTTTATTTGCATACTCATTCTGATTGGCTGGTGGGCATGGCTCGTGGGCATGGCTTGTGGCTGTAGTGGAGTGATGGTTAATTTGCATATTACTGTTTTATTACGTAGGATGATTTGCAAGTATTTTTTTTTAATCACATTCTATAAGCTTTTCTTTCTTTTCTTTTCTTTTTTTTTTTTTTAATATATTTTATTGATTTTTCACAGAGAGGAAGAGAGGAATAGAGAGTTAGAACCATCAATGAGAGAATCATTGATTAGCTGCCTCTTGCACACCCCCTACTGGGGATGTACCTATAACCAAGGAACCAAGATACATGCCCTTGACCAGAATTGAACACGGGACCTTTTGGTCCACAGGCCAACGCTCTATCCACTGAACCAAACCGGTCCCGGCAGCTTTTACTTCTTGAGAGGGCCTTTTGCAGCAGCAAAATTTTAAATGTTTATGAAGTCAAATTTATGTTTTCTTTTACTTGTAGTTTTGTCATATCTAACAGTTCATTGCCAAAACCAAGATGATGAAGATTTATGTTTTCTTCTAAGAGTTTTATAGTTTTAGCTCTTACATTTAGGTCTTTGATGCATTTTGAGTTAATTTTTGTATTCTGGTGTGAGATAGGGCTCTTGCGTGTGGCTATCCAGTTGTCCCAGGACCATTTGTTAAAGAAAATCTTTATCCCTTTGAATAGTTTTGGCACTCTTGTTGAAAATCAATTGACCATAGATATATGGCTTTATTTCTAGTCTCTCTAATCTGTTCCATTGGTTGTGATGTCTATCCTTGTTCTAGTTCCATACTATTTTGGTTAAATGTAAATTCTTCTTTTTAAAAATTGTTTTGGTTATTTGGGTTCCCTTATAATTCCACATGAATTTTAGACTCAGCTTTCCTGTTTCTGCATAAAAGGCCATTGGGATTTTCAAAGTATCTATAGATCACTTTAGGGAGTACTGCTGTCTTAACAATATTAAACCTTCAACTCATGAACAGGAATGTTTTTCCATTTTATAAGTCTTTCTTTTTTTTTTCTTTTCTTTCTTTCTTTCTTTTCTTCTTCTTCTTCTTCTTTTTTTTTTTTTTTTTTAGCAATGTTTTGTAGTTTTCAGTGTTATCTTGCAATTCCTTGGTGAAATTTATTCATTTTATTCTTTTTGTTCTTTTGCCAATGTATAGAAATACACAATTTTTGTGTTTATCTTATATCTAGCAACTTGGTTGAACTTTATTAGCTCTAATAGTTTCACTGTCTCAAATAATTTTGAGTGTGGACTAATTTTTCTCTATACACTAGTAAAATCGTGTTATCTGTGAATTGATAGAATTGAAAATTTCACATTAATTTTTCAGTTACAGTTGACATTCAATATTTCAGGTGTATAGCATAAGGATTAGACATTTATATAACTTATAAGTGATCCCCCCCAATAAGTCTAGTACCCACCTGACACCACAATTAGATATTATACTTCCTAGGCTTATGTTACATCTCTATGTCTTTTTAAAAATGATGAGACAGAGAAAGAAACACCTATTTGTTGTTCCACTTATTTATGCATTCATTGGTTGATTCTTGTATGTGTCCTGATCAGGGATCAAACCTGCAACCTTGGTGTATTGGGATGACATTCTAGCCAATTGAGCCACCCATCCAGGGCTCCCATGACTATTTTATAACTGCCAATTTGTACATAAGCCCCCTCCCTTTTTTTTTTTAACCCAACTCCCCATCTGTTTGTTCTCTGTATCTATGAGTTTCTGTTTTATTAGTTCATTTATTTTGTTTTTTAGGTTCCACATATAAGTGAAATCACATGGCATTTGTCTTTCTCTGTCTGACTTATTTCACTTAGCATAACACCCTCTGAGTCCATCTATGTTTTCATCCTTCTTTTGACTGAGTAATATTCCCCTATACATACCACATCTTTATCCAGTCATCTATCACTGGGCAGTTAGGTTGCTTCCATATCTTGGCTATTGTGAATAATGCTGCAATGAACATAGGATGCATGTATCATTTTAAATTAGTATTTTGGATGTCTTTGGATAAATACCCAGAAGTGAAATTGCTGGGTTATATGATAGTTCTATTTTTAATTTTTTGACGACTTCATACTATTTCCATAGTGGCTGGACCAATTTGTAATGCCAACAGTGCACAAAGGTCCCCTTCCCCCAAATCTTTGTCAACACTTGTTGATTTATTAATAGCCATTTTGACAATTGTGAGGTGACATCCCATTGTAGTTTAAGTTTTTATTTCCCTTATGATTAGTGACATTGAGCATCTTTTCTTACATCTTACTAGAGGGCTGGTGCATGCACTCAAGGGTTGGGGATGTCCCTCAGCTGAGATTGCAAAAGAGCGCAGGCCAGGCCAGGCCATGGTATCCCTCCAGTGCACGATTGGGGCTGGGGAGGGACATGGGAGGTTGGCCAGCTGGGAAGGACCACAGGAGGACTCCAGTGTCCAGCCCATCTCACTCAGTCCCGATCAGTCAGACCCCAGCAGCAAGCTAACCTACCAGTCGGAGCTTCTGCCCCCTGGTGATCAGTGCATATCATAACAAGCAGTTGAATAGCTTTAGCATATTATTAGCATATTACACTTGGATTGGTTGAACAGAAAACCAGATGACTGGACACTTAGCATATTAGGCTTTTATTATATAGGATTGGCCATGTGTATGTCCTCTTTGAAGAAATGCCTATTCAGGCATGTTTAAATCTTTTCCTCTGCCCATTTTTAAATCTTTTTGGTGCTATATTGTATGAGTTCATTATATCTAGATATTAACCCCTTATCGATGTATCATTGTGAATATCTTCTCCCACTCAGTAGGTTGTCTTTTTGTTGATGTTTCCTTTGCTGCACAAAAACTTTTTAGTTTGATATAGACTAATTTATTTTTTGTTGGATTGTTTCCCTTGCCCAAGTGAGACATATCCAGAAAATTTTTGCCAGGAGCGATGCCAAATATGTTTTCTTCTAGGAGTTTTATGGTTTCAAGTCTTACACTTAAGCCTTTAATCCATTTTGAGTTTATTCTTGTATATAGTATAAGGAAGTAGTCTAGGCATTTTTTTTTTTTTTTTTTTTAGCATATACCTATCCAGTTTCCCTAACACCATTTATTGAAGAGATATTCTTTACCCCGTTATATATTCTTGCATCCTTTGTCATAGATTGACCATATAGATGTGGGTTTATTTCTGGGCTCTCTATTCTGATCTGTGTGTCTGTTTTTATGCCACTACAATGTTGTTTTGATTACTATAGTCTTGTAGTACAGTTTGAGATCAAGTAGCACAATACCTCCTCCAAATTTGTGGTGGTTTTTTTTTTCTTTTACAAGCAAGTTTACTTAGAAGGTCACAGAGGTAGAAAAAGTGAGTCATCTGGGTTGTGTGGGCTCAGGAAACAAGTTATAGAGTCAAAAAAGGGGGCTTTATAGTTTAGAAGGCAAAGGTAACATGCCTGGGGCAATAAGAAAAGGGAAAGTATGGGAGTGCTCCAGGAGAGCACAGCCCAACTTTGTTCTTAAGGTTGCTTTGGCTATTTGGGGTCTTTTGTGGTTCCACATAAAGTTTAGGATTGTCCAGTTCTGTGAGAAATGCCCTCAGTGTTTTTATAGGCATTGCTTTGAAACTACAGATTGATCTAGAAAAAAAAAAAAAAGGACATTTTAACTATGTTAAATTCTTCCTATCCATGTATATACTTTCACTTATTTGTATCTTCTTCAAGGTCTTATAATTTTTCAAGTACAGCTTTTTTAACTCATGGATTAAATATATTCCTAAGAATTTTTTTATGCAATTGTAAATGGTATTGCTTCCTTAATTCCTTTAATAGTTCATTATTAGTATACAAAAATGCAACTGATTTCTGAATATTAATTTTGTATCTTTCTATTTTATTGAATTTATTTACTATTTCTAATATCATTTCTCTATATATGTAGTTATATCATCTGCAAATAATGAAAGCTTTACTTTTTCTTTACCAATTTGGATGCCTTTTATTTGAAAGTTTAACTTTTTAAGCAATTATTTCCCAAAGTGGTAATGCCATTTAACATTCCCACTAGTACCCTGTTTCCCCGAAAATAAGACAGTGTCTTATATTAATTTTTGCTCCCAAAGATGCGCTAGGTATTATTTTCAGGGGATGTCTTATTTTTCCATGAAGAAGAATATGGTACACATTTATTGTTAAATGAAAATAAAGGAAATTTATTACCTGTATACGGTACGGCAGTACGGTAGTTGTCAACACAAACCAGACAAACTGAATCCTACAGTATCAAGAATTTACTCATTTATTCAATGACAATCATGTCATCAACTTCTGGAACATCATCATAACAATCCAATTTTTGAATTTCCTGGTGAATTTCTTGTGACTCCATTTCTTTCAGAATCAGTGGACCAAATCTCTAATGTTTAGCAATAGCATTCTGAGACAGAGCCTAGGGGGGGGCCTTATTTTCAGGGGGATGCCTTATATTTCACTCAGAAGGAAACCTGTAAGTAGTAAGAAAATAAGACAGAGAATGTCTTATTTTCGGGGAAACACAGTAGTATATGAGAGCTATAGCTTCTCCACAGCATTTCTTCACACTTCTTATGAGCGACACAATACCCTTACTTTACTTAAGAGGAAATGGACAGTTAAAAAAGTTGTGACTAAAAAAAAAAAAAAAAAAAATCAAACTTGTGACTTACCCAGTCAGAACCACCTTATCAGCATTCTCAAAGCACTGACCCAGGTTTCACTAAGTCTGTACCTCTAAACCTCATTTCCCAACCACAGATGAGGAAACAGATTCCCATCAGGTCACCTTTGGAAGTGACTCCTCAGCCTGCAAGAGCTGAGTCTGTTTTGTACGGCCTGTCCCAAGCCAGAGGGACCAGGGACCTCCTCCTGGGTTCTGCCCCCTTCCCTTGCTCTCCTCCCACCCTGTCTCTGTCCAGGGCATAGTCCTACCTCTAACTCAGGGGTTCAGGAAGGCTTCCCTGTGACATCACACAGCTGGTTGCTAAGGGAAACCTGCAGACCCACCCACTAGGCAGGGGAGAGCAGAGCCCTGCTGCACAGAAGGCTGAGCCACTCCTCCCCACCAAACTGGCCCTCAATGGAAGCCTTGGTCTGTGCGTTCTCTGAGCTGCACATAAGAGAAGGTGCGGGGCTATGGAAAAGAATGGCAGGAAGGAAGATGTCCTGCTGTTCTGACCTAGGCCCAAGGCCACTAGGGACATGTACACATGGGAGAGGAATGGCCACTGGTCCAGGACGTGTGACCTGGACTGTGAGATTCTGAACCCACTGTGAAATATCTATACTGGTACCAGAGTGATCTAGGGTAGCGGTAAAAAAACAAATGGGTAGAAGGCCCTAGCTACTATGGTCAGTGGTTAGAGCGTAGACCCATACACTGAAGGGTCATGGGTTCAATTTCCGGTCAAGGATACGCACTTGGGTTGCAAGTTCAAGCGCCGGCCCAGTTGGGTCGCCTATAGGAGGCAATCAATGTATCTCATTTATACCTCTCTCTTCCCCTCTTCTCTCCCCTCTCCCCCCTTCCTTCTACCCTCTCTAAAAGTCCATGGAAAAAATATCCTCAGGTGAGGATTAACAAACAAAAAAAAGGGGAGGGGTGGCAGGAGGGCTTGAAGTCCTAAATTTTGGTGCCAGGGCTAAGGGTTCTCAGACATCCCTGTTGGCTGGGAGAGGAAAGAGGATTAATACTTTGGGTCAGGGGAGGCCGGAGGCAAGGATTTAGTCCATTTGACAGGTAAGATGAGGTTTAGCAGGCTGACATGGAGCCCATCACATGAGTATGTGATGTGTTGTTCTCCCATCATGACTGCTGTGGCCACCACCCTCCTGCTTTCCCCTCCGCAGATTCCGTGAGCTGGGCCCAAGGACTCCCCAGTCACCCCGACACACCATCCAACATCTACGAAGGAGGGCTGGGGGCCCAGCAGCAGCAGTGCCCCAGTGCCCAGGGAAGCAAGCCCAAGAACTTCCGGCTGCGCCACCTCCGGGGCCTGGCACTCTACCTACCGGGCCACATGCAGCCTGCTGGCCAGTGTGAGAGTCACTGGCTGGGCCGGCTCATGGCTGGGAGCTGCCTCCCGTGGCCTGAGGGCCTGGCCTGGCCCCTGGACCTGCCACAGGGTACTCTGAACCCAGGTAACAGCCACCGTTCAGCCCTTCTGGAAGCTCAGCTGCCCAGGGACAGCCTGGGAAATACAGGTGAGCACCCGTCTAGGTGATGCAGGAGGGAGAGACCCTTCCAGGGATGGGGTGGGTTAGAGATCAGATGGATGCAGATGGGCCCTTCTCCACTCCCAAGCCTCAGGGTTTCTGTCCCCTCTCTGCAACTGACAGGCTCCCCACTTCTGATTGGGCTTCAGTTTCCCCATTAGTGAAATGAAGGGTTTGCATTAGATGGGAGAACTTAAACCATGTTCCCTCTTCTCCCCTCCCTCATGGATTATCTTTAAAGAGACACCTTCTCCCACTTCCACTCCTGTTTTAAAGGATGTCAGGTTGAGTGGGGAGGGACATCATAGGATATTATAGGCCCTGGGGCTCTCCCAAGTAACTTCTCCCTCCCCCTTTCCTCAGCACCCAGTTCCAGCATGGATCCAGCCAAGGGTGCCTCCTCCCAGCCTGGTACCCATGAAGGCTTGGGGTTCAGGCCCAAGAGATCCTGGCAGGCCTCAGAGGAGTCCACCTGTCCACTGTGCAAGAGGATCTGCTCTGGGGCTCTGGAGAGGCCGTAGGGACCCGAGTGCTGTTTTCACAGCTTCAGGACAGGAGGGGAAAGATGATCCAGGAGGTGGCGGAGGAGGCAGGTCCAGAGAGGAAGGGCTCAGCCCCACCAGTAGCCCCTCCAGACGGTGACACCTGCAGACGCCCAGCACCAGAGCCTGGGCCAGTCTTGGGAAAACTTGAGGGGAGGGAGGAGGAGGTCCTGAGGGAGGGACAGGAAAAGAAGTGGAAGCCTGGGCATGGCCTTGCAGCCTGCTCCGACTCAAGTAAACCACTTGTGCCTGCGAGGCCGGGCTGAGTGGAGAGAGGGGCTCCCAAAGAGACTGGGGAGCCTGCTGGTCTAATCTCAATAAAAGCCAAAGCCCACATGCACCTGGCTCCCTCCGTCTGTCATCAGGCCAGTTCAGTCAGAGGAACAGCCCCTCGGCACCTGTGTTGCTGAGAGCAAGTTCCCATGTTCTTGGCCCTGTGGATATTTGGGACCAGATCATTCTTCGTAGTGGGGCCATCAGGTGTGTTGTGGGATGTTTAGCAGTGAAAGCAGCCTCTACCCACTAGATTCAGCTAGCTCCCTCCTCCAACTGTGACAACCAAAAGTCTCTCCAGATAGTGTCCAGTATCCCCTGGGGGTAGGATCACTCCTGGTCTGTGTGGCTAGGCCTCAGCCCGTGGGACAGGATGGGAAGACCAATGTTGGCCTCAGTGACCCTCACTGTCTGGCTCACTTCCAGTCTGGGCAGCCCAGGTTGGAAGCCCCTTTGGGGGGCTCCTGCCATACCCACGTGATAGTGTCTATGATTCTGGAGACCAGGAGAGCTGGGTTCCTTCTAGTCTGCTCCCAGGGTTCAGATCCGAGTCCAGTCTGTGGTGGCCTCCACGGGGCCACATCCCGGTGGTCTGGCCTGTGTATTACTTCCTGTCTTAACTTGGGATTGGCTCTGGGTCTTGTTTTACCAGTAGATGTGGTAGAAGTTAATACTTGGCCAATGACTAACCAAGAGCCCCAAGGAGTCACCCCTCAATCCTGAAGCTGACCCATTAAACAAGGTGTTATTTGCCTCAATTAGCAAGGGTGTAACTCACAGCACTAGATGCTGCTAGGACTCAGAGACCAGGCCAGTTCACTGACCTTGAAACATTCAATGCCTCCAGCCTCCATACAATCCCATGGGCTCCCTGACACCCAGCTCCTCAGGTCCCTCAGGCCCATTTCGGGGAGGGCTGAATGGCTGATGTGCCACCGTCAAGGGAGCAGTACACACGCAGGTTTTAGAGGGGCTGTTCAAGAGCTGCGTGGCTCCTGGGTAACTGCCGGCCCCTGAACCAGTTTTCATCTGTCTAATGGGGCGACAGCAAGTGCTGTCCACATGCAGGCTTCCTGGCACTGACACAGCCTCTTCTGACTCCATACCCCAGGATGGCCAGAAGCTCCAAGGAGAGGTTGCTGGGAGCACATGGTTCCAGACTTGCCAACCGCAGGCTCCCATGATGAGGTGCCCTGGACCAAAGGTCCCAGTCCCCCCAGGCTCCTGTGGCAAGATGCACGGCTCAGGGTTCCTATCTGACCACCACACTGTGTCACCTATCGAGCCTTCCCTAAGCCAGGATAGTGACCCCCAGAGGACATGCCCCAGCTCAGGGCCTAAGGTTGGCCAAGGAGATTCCTAAACTAATGGGGGCAGCTGCTTGAGGATCTTGAGTTTAAAGAAAGAACCCAGCCGAAACCGGTTTGGCTCTGGATAGAGCGCTGGCCTGCGGACTGAAAGGTCCCAGGTTCGATTCCGGCCAAGGGCATATATCTTGGTTGCGGGCACATCCCCTGTGTGTGTGTGTGGGGGGGCTGGGGTGCAAGAGGTAGCTGATCAATGATTCTCTCTCATCGGTGTTTCTAACTCTCTATCCTTCTCCTTTCCTCTCTGTAAAAAAATTCATTAAATTATATTAAAAAAGAAAGAAAAAAGAACGAACGAACCCAGTTGTGCTTTGCAACTCTAGACCCCCTTCCCTAGGACTGCATTGACAGGATAAATGACACAAAACAATCGGTCCTTTCACCTGGAAGCCATCCTTGGGACTTGACAGCCACCATCAAGCAGCTCCTGGGCCATCTAAAACCACTGACCCAGCAAGGGGGCAAATCCCCCCAGGAATGGCCCAAAGTGCAAGACAGGATGTGACCAATTAAAATCTATTTATTTGTTTGTAATCAGACAGAACACTACAATCTGTTCAACACTGGGCTAGACACTGCCGTGATTAGGGGCAAGGAGGAAGGGGCAGGGCAAGGCCTCGGCTCAATATGGAAGTCCAAGGCAGAACCTTCTGGAAGACTCTTCCCTTACCCCATGGGGCAGAAATAAAAACCACATGATAACCGTTGATTCAGATTAGCGAGGACACTGAGCTGGGCCTCAGCTCAAAGTCAATGTCAGCAAGGAGTATGGACCAGTCAGTGAGTGTGAAGTGGCCGAGGAAGGAGAAGTGGTTTTCCTGCACAGGCTCGCCTTCATCTTGAGAAACCCCTTCCCCCACCACAAGGCCAGAGAGCCCCTGGGCTGGGAGTTCTGAGGGAGGGAAGGATGCCAATTCGAGGCCCCTTCGCTTGGTTGGCCCACCTTCTCCTCCCTCAGACTGGTGCACTGTGGCAACGGCTCCAGGACACTGCAGCAATGCTGGGCGTGACTCTGCCAACCCCCTTCACTCTGGAGGGCGGGGCAGGGAGCGAGCAGCTTCGGGGGGATAGGGTGGAGGGAACGCCAGAAGCAAGTGCTGTCCGCATGCAGGCTTCCTGGCACTGACACAGCCTCTTCTCTGTTCTCAGAGGCTGAGGACCACAAGGCAAGCGACTGCCCCCAGTCTCAAAGACCAGGTCCTACTTGATCAAACACCACACTCAGTTCTTGTCTGCATCTGGTCAGGCCTTAGAACTACATTTCATCATTTCATGGAACTGGGGGGCCGGAGGGGAGGGCCCTTGGGACACTCACCAACACCTGTCCTCAGCCCAGCTCCCTGCGGCAGTTCAACTGAATGGCACATCCAGCAAGTGACAGGCAGCTCCTCGCGCTGACACAGCAGGACTGCCGACAGAGGAGTGGGAAACCTTCCCACTGTCTGACCACCATGCCAGGAACCAAGCCCAGAGCTCTGTGCTTGGGTGAGAAGCTGCCCACCACTCGCCAGCCCCTCCTGGGGAGGTAGGGGCTGCTCCTGCCCCCCAAGCTTGTGAGGGCTGGTTCTTTACAAGGGTTTGCATTCCCTTTACTTTACTCCTTCATTGTTCCGAGGCTCCTGTGTCTTTAGGGCCACGTCTATCCGTAACACTTGGGCTCCTCCCTCTGAGGAGTTAATTCCGGCTTTGGAGGAAGGATTTGGATGGAACAGGCAGTGCAGGGGAAGAGGCCAGTGAGGACGTGCAGGGAACGAAGCCCTCTCCTGCCTCCACACTCCCAGGTCAGCAGAAGCAGCTGGCCACAATGAACACTGTGGCCAGCCTATGAGGCTGGTGCACTCACATGGGGGCCAGGCCAAGGCAAGGGCAGAGGTTTCCAGAGCAGGAAGGAGGGCTGGAAGAGCCTGCAGGAAAGAGAAGAGGGGAGCAAGGGTGAAGGTCTCCACAGAAACACTGCTCACACTATGTCCGGCTAGGAACCCACTGCTGGCCCTGGGTGCCCCCGAAGGCTGAGCCCTGCTCTAGGCCCAGAGTCCCTTTTAGTGACATCTGGGTTCCTCAGTCCCAGCACAGATCAAGGCACTGGGCATGCCAGCCCAGATGGCCATGACCCTTTCCTGCTCTGGTGTTCTGTGAGGTCTGAGAGACTGGCTGGCTCCCCATAGTACTCATGGTGTTCGTGGCCATGTCTATATCTTTATGTCAGTATAGGTTTATATGCATACAAATATGTTTGAGGAGGTTTACCAAAATATTAGTGATTTTCTCTCAGTGCTGAGGTTTTACTTTTTTCTTCACTTTTATAAATGGTTTGAGCTTTAAAGTAATGACCATGTAACATATTTATAATCTTAATAAGAAAAAGCTATTGCCCTGGCCGGTTTGGCTCAGTGGATAGAGCGTCGGCCTGCGGACTGAAGGGTCCCAGGTTTGGTTCCAGTCATGGGCATGTACCTTGGTTGCAGGCACATCCCCAGTGGGGGGGTGTGCAGGAGGCAGCTGAGCAATGTTTCTCTCTCATCGATGTTTCTAGCTCTCTATCCTTCTCCCTTCCTTTCTGTAGAGAATCAATAAAATATATTAAAAATAAAAATAAAGCTAGTATTTTGAAAGAAAGAAAAAGAAGTGGCCATGTCTGAATAGAGCCCTCATCTATAAGGTGCCCATCTCAGGGAGCTTCACTGTGACTGCTGCTGCTGGTGTTAAAGCTGACATCAGCTCCAGACACCGTTGGAAAGGTAATAGTGGCTATGGGTGGCAGGGTGAGGGCAGAGAAAGAGCTTGATCTTTTGGTACTTTTTCCATTTCTGTGAATGCATTATTTTTTAAAAAGTCGTTCAAGGGAAAAGATGAAGTTCTGGGCAAGGGCTCAGGACTCAGGACTCTGCTTTCCTCCTTCAAATTTCTTTTATTTATATATAAAATATATATTTCATTGATTTCAGAAAGGACAGGAGAGAGAGAGAGAGAGAGAAACACCAATGACGAGAGAGAACCACTAATTGGCTGCCTCCTACTGGGGATCGAGCTCACAACCCAGGCATGTGCCCTTGACCAGGAATCGAACCTGGGACCCTTCAGTCCGCAGGCTGACACTCTTATCTACTGAGCCAAACTGGCTAGGGCAGTCCTCCTTCAAATTTCTGAGAGCTGCTCAGGTACTACCTCAGCCCTTAGTGCCTCTCCAGAGCCTTCGGTTTTTATTGTCGGAAGCGCCAGGCCCTCCATTTCTCAAGACCATCATCCCAGTCAGTTCTGATCCCCTTTCCCCACCACCTGTTCTGGCATACCTGTTGGAGACCGGGCATACCCGCCCCACGACGCTCTGCTCCAGAGCCCATGTAGCACCGGGCCTGCAGCTGGGGCCGGTGATGGGCCAGCTCCTCTGCAGAACACAGTTGAGGTCAAATGGCCAAGAAGGTGGGCTCCGCAGGGCGCCAAGGGGTGGGGACCTGCTGGAGACTGCCCGGCTGGCATCACATGGTCCGGCTGTATTCAATGCCGCCCTTGGTGGAGATGCTCGACCATGGCAGGAAGCTGCAGAGCAGGCTGTGGGCCTGGCGGTAAATCCTGTGTGGGATGGAGCAGGGGCTCAGGTTTGCTAGAGCAGAACCCAGGTGCTGGATGTAGTCCGTGGGACGCTGTTAAGGAAGACTCCAACTCGCCTTCCCTGCCCACACAGCCCTGGAGTGGCACTGTCAGCAGAAGCCCAAACAGCAACCTGCAGGACTGAGGGCAGATAGCATGCCATTCCCAAGGGAGGCCAAAAGTCCGCTTAGCCTCTGCAGAGTGCTGGAAAACCTCCACAGATGGAGGGGCCTCCACTATGCAAAATAATAAAGGGCAGCATGGGGGTGCAAAAGGACCTTCCAGGTGAGGCCTCAGGCACATGGACACCCAGACTAAGGTTAACAGACAGGGACTGGTTGGTGTATGTGTGTGTGTGTGGTGGGGAGTGTAAATCAAAAGAGCAAGTGTTCCTGGTCCTCCCCCTACCCTCAGTCCTCAGAGGGGCAGGGCCTCATTCCTGTGACATAGAGGGATCAACAGTGTTAAGCCCTTAGCACAGAAACCCATTTTCACATGAAAAGGAGATCTATGAGCTTTGCACCACATATCTCTTTCCCGTTTATTTCCTTATGAAGTGGATAAGTCTTAAACTCATTTATTTACTTGTATTTACACACAGATACATATAGTATTTTCTGGGCCACACCCTATGACTATTAAGAAGTCTTCTAGCCTCCCTCTTACCTGTTTAGGGCCAGAGACAGTTAAAAGGGAGGGAGCAGGGATGGGACACACCATTGGGTCACATACCCTACATTCTGATAAGAAAGGTTTGAACTAAGTGTTCCAAATAGCAAACAACTCTTTCACCTCCCCTACTTGCTCTCTCCGTGCCAGCATGCAGGCCCCACCAGGTCAGGGGCTTTGTCTATTTTGTTCACTGTTGTAGCCCCACATACCAAGTATAGGAGACTGTCAACCAATACTTAATAGGTGAATAAATGGACAAATGGATGGGTGGATCTTGGACCAGGAGGATTAAAAATCTACCCCTTGTACTGGGCTCAAGTCCAGGGAACAATGAGTGCCAGAGCATGTTTGCTTTCCTAATATCTGCAACAGACCATCAATTCCTAACACATGCAAATCAGATCTACCCACATCATCATTATCTCATCTGGAAAAAATGCATCCTGTGAGCTTGGCTTTGTGAATGTCATCTGAAAGCGACCACAGCTCCAGCTGATGCTAGGAAGCCAGTCTCTCACCCCCGAGGAGAAAAGGATATAAGATGGTCCAGGGAGGGTGGCCACCATTGATGTAGAGGACATAAGTGAAGCCATCTTTGAGGACCCCACGGATGGAATAGTAATAGGGGAGATAGTGGTGCTGCTTGAAGTCTCTGTTTTCGTAGAAGTTTATTGCTGTGTTGTTGGTGGTGAGGACGTGCAGGTAGATGGCTTTGCAGTGGTCCTGGGCAGTGGTGGATATGTGATCCTTTAAACTCTCAAGTAAAAGGGAACCTGTAGGCAAAGAGGCAACAGTCACACATGGCGGGGCAGGTGAGGAGAAAGCATAAGGCAGACAAGGAAGTGACCTTCTCAGAGATCTCTACAGATCTCTCTGCCATTGTATCAAAGACTTCCCATAACAGCCACTGTCAAAGTCCCTAAAATCCCACAGCCAGACAGGGCCGGTGAGTGCAGACCACTGGCTGTCCAGGAACATGGATCAGGCCGCATAGTTCCCTTCCAGGGGCTGAATCCACAGGAGAGATTCACTAGCCTTTCAGACAACAAAGTGTAAACCTAAGCCCAGGGAAATTAGGAATGGGCAGACCTGGGTTACAATGAAGACTCTGCTGTGGCTGAGTGGGATGGGAAGTTGGAAACATAAAGATGGCATGGCACCCCGCATGTGACAGGAATCTGACCCATAGGAGCTAGGACTGTTTCATCAATTACATTTTCTATTCTTAATCAAGCACACTGTGTGACCAGATATAAGTTGTGTGCATGTCAGCAGGTGTGGTTAAAAGGGTGCCCTTTCTGTAATGAGGATCTTTGGGAGCTGTTTGTAATCTGATCTTGTAAGCTTTGGGAATGAGGCCATACAGAAAGACCTGGTAATGTGGGGAAAGAGCATGGACTGAATTGAAGGTCAGCAGGGCAGTGGATGGTTGTGGTGGAGTGTATATGCCAAAAATCATTATTTCAACCGCCCCTTACCTATGCCGTGCTTTCTGAATTCCTTCACTACTCCCAGACTTAGAATGTATGCAACTTGTGTGTCAACAGAGAAGTTGGAGGCTAGAATATCTCCATCCTAAAGAAAAAGTCAGAAATAAAGTCAGGTTCACAGTTGAGGCACCCGGTCGCACTGCAGAACATATCTCACATGCTGACTCTCCCAGCTACACCTGGGGGGCCAGTGGAGCAGGAAGAGACAGAACAGAGAATAATGGAGAGTCAGCACCGTCCCATGGAAACAAGGGGTGTGGGGCTTTCTGCTAAAATAAGACACAAAAAGTCGCTTCTCTTTGGAAGGGTGGTAGACCATACAAGGAAGGACACTGACACCAGACAAGTGAAGCTATGATGGTAAAAAGGAAATGACTATGCTGTGTGGGCATTAAATGGTGCTCACATGTGTCAACTGACACACCAAGAGATCAAACAGCCAGACAAAGTTTTACAAGTTTAATTAGCCCTGTGGCCTGTGTGACTCAGCTGGTTGGGCATTGTCCTGTGCAAGGTTGCTGGTTTGACTACCAATCACACACCTAGGCTGCAATCCTGATCCCAATTAGAGGATGTGCAAGAAGCAGCCTCTCATATGGATGTTTCCTTCTCTCTCTTTCCTCCTTACTTTCTTTCTAAGTATCAATTTTTAAAAATCTTAAAAAAAAAAAAAAAAGGATTATGTGCTGCCACAGGTGGTCTTAGGGTACAGAGGGTGAGGAGTCTGAGTGGCCTCTCTGCTGTCCACACCAGGCAGAGCGTCACCAACCCTTGTTGGTCTCTTAGTTCAGAGATAAAATTCTGGACTGAGAGAGTTGTGAGTTCGACCATCTTGAGGTTCTGATGTTGTTCTACTTTGTAAAGAAGAAGGCTTGGTGGATTCCCCCCATGGAAAGAAAGCTTGGTGACTTGGCCTCTCTCATCCCTGTCCACTGTTCACTGAGTGGCTCCCGTGTGCTGGGCATGGGTTGGCCTGTCCCTGTCCCTACTCACCACTCTCCTGACCCTGACCCCGGCCCCGGCCCCAGCACTCCATAGTACAGTTAAGCCGGAGAAGGCAAACTTAGTCTCAGGGAGGCATCCTTATTGCTCTTGTTACTTGAAGCCCATGGAAGGGTCCGGAAGGTAAAGTAGGTACTTCATTCCCCAGAAGACATCAGCAGGGGCTCTCTTTCCTCAGTGTCGAATTCCTTCTGCCTCTCAGCGAGGCCAGAGAAAATGCCAAGTGCAAAGGCTCTCCCGACACCCAGGGAGTAGAAAAGAAGGGCTCCAATCTCTGGCCTCATGGGAAAACGCACACATTCAAAGGAGTTCAGAGATCTACACCATATGTGTGGGGCTGGACAGTTGCTGGGTGCACATAGGAAGAGCTTCATAGAGAGGGTTTTGGAGAACAAGTCAGGGGAGGGGAAGGGGGGGACAGTTTGTTCTGTGAAAGAGCAAAAAGATATTGATGCTTGCTGAAAATACCAATGTTTCTTTTTTTGCTGTATCTTAGCACAGAAAAATAGAAGAAAAAAACTCAGAAGCTAGGATAGAAAAGTTACTCTTAAAAGAAACCAACTTGCCAGAATCTAATTACAGGCAAATTAGGGTAGACCTGAGTGGGTTAGGTCTTTAAAAGAGAGAGAGATCCGCCTAGCTAGCTCAGTGGTTAAGTGTCAACCTATGAACCAAGAGATCATGGTTTGATTCTCAGTCAAGGGCACATGCCTGGGTTGCAGGCTCCACCCCCAGTGGGGGGCATGCAGGAGGAACTATGCAGCCTTGATGTTTCTATCTCTCTCTCCCTCTCTGAAATCAATAAAAATATATGTTGAAAAATAAATAAAATAAAAAGGAGAGATATCCTTCTTGCACTTTTAAATAAATAGCCTCAAGCCAAACAGAGAGAAACAGTTGCCAGTTGGTGGTGGTTTTCCCCCCTCCATGAAGTAAATACCCATGTATAAATGCTACTCAGTCGCTTTATAAGATGACTTAGGGAGAATGTTTGTTTTGTTTTTAATTTATTTACTTTGAAGATCTAATTGTCTTTTCTTTCTTTTTTTTTCACGTGCCCTTGACTGAAATCAGACCCGGAAACCTTTGATTCACAGGCGTACGCTCTATCCACTGAGCCAAACTGATTAGGGGTAGGCAGAATCTTGATGCAAGTCAACCACATGGAACAACGTGTTTGTGACCATAACCTCGCATTTTACATTTAGAGCAGGACTTGGTAACTCAGGGTCCAAAGACACTCCAGGGTTCTTAGATAGATCTTAGCGAGGTCTATGAAATTGAACAGGAAAAAAAAAAAATATTTGTTTTTACTAACCTGTAACTGGAACTTAGCGTTTCCTTTAACAGATCACAGCAGTATTAGCAGTTTCTGTGACACTGCCACCAATACAAATCACAAACCCTTACAACTCTGCAGATTCTCAGTGAATCTTTTACACCCCCTCCCAATTTCAAAATGACAATCATTAGAAAGAAGCCTGCAGTTAGGACGTGTTACCTAATGTACATATGACTGTATTACATACACACAGAAAGAAACCACCTGGATCTGAGTCTCATACGTGGTCTGGGCTCCTAAGAGAAAGAGAAAGAGCCACAGAGCAGGCAGCGTGATTCTGTCCCAAGGGCCTGGCAGCTCCATCCCCACCATACATACTTACCTCCTTGTGTATCTTGGTCCTACTTTTTATTTCAGCTACTATCATTCCTACAATGGTACCCCTGTAGGTTGCAGCAAGGGAAAAGAACTTCTTGTTGGAGGTGATGTCACGATACCATGAGTCTGGGTACCTGAGGAGAACAACCTTAGGTGAAACTGCCAAAGGCCAAGTCCAACTAACCTCGTGCTTCAGACAGTGGACCCACAGGGGATTCGAGGCACCTGTCCATTGCTCCAGGATTGATAAGGAGCCTGCCCACCACTTAGTCTCCACCAAAGTGTATCGTTCTCAGTGAATCATCATCTTAAAGCAGCAATCTATCCAGACAGGATAGGGGCTTTCTGATGGAAAAGTGATTTTACAAGATATAGATTTAAGAAGGGGGGGGGGGGGACCTCCCATTACACTCTCTCCATGAGAGCAGTACCTGGAGGGGCAGCTGGAAGAGTTCAAACTCAAGACCCCAGAGGAGCAGAAAAGAGAACGTTTCACGCAAAGCCCTATGACACCGTGATGACAGACAGATGACTCAGCCTCAGTACGGAGTTTTGCTGAGGGGGCAGGACACTCTGGGTTTTATTGTCTGTGGGTTTGGGACATAAGTTAGTCCAGAAGCCTTTCCTGAGACCAAGAGCTGGAAGACGGTGGAGACACAGTGGAAAGGTTCTCCGCTCAGGTCTACTCTGCAGAGGCCGCTGACCACCCACCAAAAGGCTTTCTGAGCCTGGCATCGCCCAAGCTCCTCTCCTGATTGTAGTGGGTGAAACCTGAGGTTAACACTCATAGAATCAAGCGGGACCTTGTTTATTTTTCATTTTTAAAAGTTTGCACTTATTTTTTTCACAACAAAAGCTATATGTGCTTATTATAGAAAAATCGAGGAAATACAGACAAGCAAAATAAAATAAACTTGTAGCTACTAATAATCTACCATTCCAAAATACCAAAAACACATATCTTCATAGGCTTTTATCTTATGCATGTTTTCAAATAAAAGTGAAATTGTGGTACAATTTTCTAATCTGCTTTTTTCACTTACTATTTCATTAAAAAACTCCTCAAGTATATCTTGATGACAGATTTCACTTTTCCTGGTGAATAGTATTTCATTTTCACATGCACATACGCTAACATATGTCAGCCATTCTTTACTGTTGAGATACTTAAGTTGCTTCTCAATTGTCTGATTTATAAACAGCACTGCATCGAACATCTTTGTAAGTAAAGTTTCTCAGCAAAGCCCTTTTGGAGAACTTTGCATAAGGTAGAGTGAGATGGAAAGGATGTGATGGCCATCAGGGAGCGGGGCCTGGGCTCCTCTGACAGGCAAGGTGACTCTGGGCCACCATCGCCCCTCCAGGATATCCTCACCTTTGCACAAGCCTTCCAGCTTCATCAGATCCATGGGCATTACCCCATCCCTCAATCTACAGCTGTGGGGCAGAGGGCACCATTTGACTTACTCGATGGGGAACCAGTCGCCACAGAGATGCTTCACAGTGTCTATGTCATCGTGGCAGAGGAGGCGCAGGCTGACCTCGCTGAGGGCGTTGGATGGCACCACCTCTGTCATTCACACCTGCAGGGAGAGAGGCGGGGTCAGGAGAGCAGCCAACCTCCCCTAAACACCTCACCAGCTCACAGATCCCATTATGTTTTATATTTTATTGATTTTTTTACAGAGAGGAAGGGAGAGAGATAGAGAGCTAGAAACGTCGATGAGAGAGAAACAGCTCATCGACCAGCTGCCTCCTGCACACCCCCTACCGGGGATGTGCCCGCAGCCAACGTACATGCCCCTGACCGGAATCGAACCTGGGACCTTTCAGTCCACAGACCAACGCTCTACCGCTGAGCCAAACCGGTTTCGGCACAGATCACATTCACTTCCTCTTCCTCCTCCTAACCTGTGGCGCAGGAAAGATGGGAAGACTAATGCCCCACCATGGACGGTGGTCCCCTTAGTAACTGCATGAAGTTCACAATAATCCCCAGCACCAAGTGCCACAATCACCCCCACACTGCAGACCAATAAACTAAGGCTTGGGAAGGGCTGGCAGGATGGGACCTAGGGTCCCCTCACTGTTCACTTTGAACACCAGAGAGCAGCCTGCCTTTGGTCAGTTTTCTCTCTGCTCTCTGCCCTTCTGAGGTGCCCTCTGAGCACCACTCCTCCCTGGCCAGTGTCCTATCTCCCTCACATTGCCATTTCTCCATGGCACAAAGCACACAACCCCAGCAGTCCAACTTCTCCCGACCTGGCCCATGGCCATCAACCCCATCAGAGCAGCCTGGGCAGGGGCCAATGACCTGCTGGATTTCCAGGAAAATTGGCACTTGTTAGGCGGGTCATTGCTCCTCCCTTATCCAGCAAACAAAACTCATGAGCAAAAAGAGAGAGAGAGAGACTTGCAAGACACCAGAGGTTCAAATCAGGGTCAGGAATTACTGACAATTATTTTATTTTTATTTATTTATTTATTTATTTATTTATTTATTTATTTTACATATTTTATTGATTTTTCCCCCCTCCCTCCCAAACATCCCCTCCCTCCCCAGAGTTTTATGTCCATTGGTTGTACTTATATGCATGTATACAAGTCCTTGGGTTGATCTATTATCTCCCCCAGATCTTCCCTGACAATTATTTTAAATCAGGAAACTACATTCAGCCTAGATTGGTAATGGATCAGCTGTCCTTGTTCCAATTAAGATAAAGCAAGGAAGCAGAAAGAAAGCCAAATATTAGACTCTGGCAAAGGGAACACAGGAGTCTTTCTTCTTTATGTTGAAAACTGGTAGTAAAAGGCATAGGACCATGCATTTACTACATCTTTTTAGGATAACTGTGTAGTTCATCCTTGATGGATGAGGAAAAATTCTTTCTATAGAAGAATGAAAGCCACTAAAAGTAGAAATAATGATAGAATCGGAATGTCATCACTTTGAAAGTGCTGATGAAAATAAATGAATCAAGCAAGAATTATCAAAGACTTTTAACCCCAGTGGAGGGAGCAGGTGTGAGGCATGGAGCAAAGTACCTGCACCCGAGGTCTTAGCAATCACCAAGGAAAAGCCTTTCAACCTCAAGATCCTGCACTCACAGTTCCCCCAGTAATGGAGCCCAGCTTCTCTGACCAGTGCCATGCATACGAAATCCACAAAGCCTTCAGGTTTCCACATCAAATGCTAGGCCTAAAGCCAGCTGTGCCTCCAGGCCTAACATCACAACTACAGATAATAGCCGGCACACAGGCATGTATATTCAACAGCATCATGACATCCAACAAACACAGAATGCTGATATTCTACAAGATGAGCAACCTGGTCTCTTCAAAAAGTCAATGATGCCCTAGCCAGTTTGGCTCAGTGGATAGAGTGACGACCTGTGAACTGAAGGGTCCCAGGTTCAATTCCAATCAAGGGCACATGACTGAGTTGCAGGCTCCATCCCCAGGAGGTAGCTGATCAATGATTCTCTCTCATCATTGATTTGCTATCTTTCTCCCTTCTTCCTCTCTGAAATCAATAAAGGCAATGCCATTAAAAAGACAAAAGTGGCTGAAACCGGTTTGGCTCAGTGGATAGAGCATCGGCTTGCGGACTGAAGGGTCCCGGGTTCGATTCCGGTCAAGGGCATGTACCTTGGGTGCAGGCACATCCCCAGTGGAGGGTGTGCAGGAGGCAGCTGATTGATGTTTCTCTCATCATTGATGTTTCTAGTTTTCTGTCCTTCTCCTTTCCTCTCTGTAAAAAATCAATAAAAGAGCCGAAACCGGTTTGGCTCAGTGGATAGAGCGTCGGCCTGCGGACTGAAAGGTCCCGGGTTCGATTCCGGTCAGGGGCATGTACCTTGGTTGTGGGCACATCCCCAGTGGGGGGTGTGCAGGAGGCAGCTGATCAATGATGATTCTCTCTCATTGATGTTTCTCTCTCTCTCTCTCTCTTCCTCTCTGTAAAAAAAATCAATAAAATATATTAAAAAAATAAAATAAAATAATGGGCTGGCCCAGATCCTGCCTCACATGGGCTACCACTGTGCCAGGTCTGCTAGGGTGGGGTTGGGGTGCTCTGGGGAAGACGAGGCTGAAGATCAGGGAGGCTGGTAGGAGGTACAGACTTGAAGAGCCGCCGGCCCACCAAGGCCAACCTGTAGCTTACTCTGGATTTGGGCCAATTTTAATACTTCATATTCAAAAGGGAAAAAATCTGTCATTTTCTTGGTGTAAGAAGTGACCAAAGAAAGTTATCAAGACTCAACTAACCACAATTTTTCATCGATGCGGTCTTAGCCGCTCAGATATTTTGAGAAAGGAAAGATCATTCTCAGGTTTTCCATAGCTAGGAAATCAACAAATCACCAGATAAATCTCGAATCCATTTTCAGCCCTAATGAGTGATCTATGCCAGGAAACTCCGTATTGCCCTTTTTTCCTGGAAAACCAGTTCCAGCGGTACATCTGGGGCGTGGCAGGCTCAAGTTAGCCCAAGACACAGGGTGACTTTACTGCCCGCACTCATTACCTTGGCAGAGCTCCAGGTGTCTCATCAGCTGTGCCCAGTTTTGTTCTCAACCAACAGGAAATGTGCTCTGAGCTTCTCCTACAAAAAGGAGCTGCAGGACAGGATACTGTCAGCTCACTCTCCGTCCCTACACCAGAGGGGCAGGACAAGGCCACTGGCAAAACCAGCCAGGAGAGCCAGGGTTTGGATGGCACAGGTAGAGCCAGGGTTCGGATGGCCACAGGTAGAGCCAGGGTTCGGATGGCCACAGGTAGAGCCAGGGTTCGGATGGCCACAGATAGAGCCAGGGTTCGGATGGCCACAGGTAGACCCGGGCACCCGAAGAGCTAGAGCTGCTGCCCAGTCAGTAAGTGCTAAGATGCAAGGCCTTGACCTCCATGGTTGCCTGTGGCAGAGGACTGACTGCAAAGAGGCTGAGGGTGGGACAATCCCTGGGGCGGGGGATGGAACTATTGTATATCTTAATGGCGGTGGTTACACACACAAACATATATGCACACATTAAAACTCACTGAGTACATTTTCTTGTGTGTTAAACTTTAATAAAGTTTATTTTAAAAGATTAAAAAACCACTTTACAGTGAGGTTTGATAGCAAAGGAAGAGATCCACAATAAATGAGCATCTCTTATGCTCTTATGGGGTTTACAAATTTTCCCCCTAGTATCCTTGGGGAAAGCTCTTGTTCCCTCCCTGTTCAGCGTTCAATAAAAATACTGGGCTCCAAGAAATACAGCCATTTGTGGATTCTCACATCCCTATTAAAAGCACTTCCATGTTTTCAAAGGCCAGTTCTTTAGATGCCTTGATTTAAAAATAGAAACATGTCAAATTTAACCAAGGGAGAAAGCTGGATATTACAGTGCCTAATCTGTCCCAGCCCAACTGACAGTGGGTAGAGAAGGTGGCAGGAAGGCACAGGAGGAGATTCTGGCACCACCTATGTGCCAGTGAAAGGAAGAAATGGAGTCAAGAAGAGGCAAATTAACTGATGGTGGTGGTGCAGGTGGGAGGCGAGTATGGCAAGTGGCTAAGCTGGAGGAGCAAGTCAGGAAACCCTTATGTAGCACCTGTGGGGACTCACTTGTCCATCCTGAACCTTCCACCAAGTACTGACCTCTTATTGCTACCATTAGGGCTCAAGGGACAAGGATTCTGAGATTCGCTAGAAACAGGTGACGGTGAATGAAGCCAGAGCAGAGGCCCAGTATCAGGCCCTCTATTCCATCCTGAGCCCTAGGGTGCTGATGGGACCGCACGGAAGACACAGATGCACAGGCCACCCCTTAGTATACATTTTCCTACAGACACTGACATGTCTATATTACAACAATAGGGACGTACTGTACAGGAGAATTCTAAGTTCACTTGAGTTTTTGAAACTTTATTTTAGAGAAAGAAAGGGAGGGGGGAGAGAGAAACATTGGTTTCTTGTTTCACTTATGCATTCATTGGTTTATTCTTTTTTTAGTATTTTTTTTTTCAGAGAGGAAGAGATAGAAACATCAAAGATGAGAATCATCGATTGGCTACCTCCTAATGAGTTTGCCGACCACTGGGCTTGGACAACCCAACAATAAACTCCAAGTGTTTAGGATAGAGAGGGGAGAAAAGGAAAAGTAACTGTGGGCACAGGACACTGCCTTGCTCATCAGTAAAATCGGTTAAGGACTAAAAGGAGAGGGAGGGGAAACAGTGAGCACACTTCATAGCTGGTCTGCAGAAAAGAGCAGCTGCTGGTGGGGCAGCGAGCCGTCTCCAAGGAAGCCTAGGTTCCTTCCAAAAGCTCAGTGTAGGAGGAACATGATTAATTTATAGGACAAGAAACACACCCAGCACTCTAGTTCCAAACAGACTCCCTCTTAAAACTCAAGCCATTGTGCTCAGAGGGGAGCCTGGCTATTTTGACATACAATTTAAGATACATCTCTTCAAGCATGAATTGATGATACGGAAGAATTCCATTTTGCATGAAATTCTGAAATTGCTAAGGGAACTGACAGTGACAGTGACAGAAATCAGATAATGGGGTGGGGGACATGGGGCAACT